TTATGTACCTACTATATCTAGGAATTTAGTTTCATTATCTAAACTTGATGTTATTGGATACTCTTTTAATTTTAGAAATGAATGTTTTAGTTTATTTAAACATAATTATCTCATTGGTACTGATACTCTTTGTGATGATTTATATAAATTAAATTTAGATGGTTTGTATGCTGAAACTTTCTTAACTCTGCATCATAGCATTGACACTAAACGTAGTTTAGTGAATGAACGTTCTGCTTACTTGTGGCATAGACGTTTAGGCCATATATCCAGGGAAAGAATGGAAAGACTAGTAAGAGGTGGAGTTCTTCCAGACTTGGATTTTACTGACCTAAATATTTGTGTGGATTGTATAAAAGGAAAGCAAACAAAACACACAAAGAAATGAGCCACAAAAAGTAACCAGCTTCTTGAAGTTGTGCACACTGATATTTGTGGACCTTTTGATGTTAATTCTTTCGGAAAAGAGAGATACTTTATTACTTTTATTGATGACTATTCCCGTTATGGTTATGTCTATTTGCTGCATGAGAAATCTTAAGCAGTGGATGCCTTAGAAATTTACTTGAATGAAGTGGAAAGGCAATCAGACAAAAAGGTGAAAGTTGTTAGGTCTGATAGAAGTGGTGAGTATTACGGAAGGTATAATGAAACTGGACAACATCCAGGTCCATTTGCTAAACTCCTTGAGAAACGTGGTATTTGTGCTCAATACACAATGCCAGGTACACCACAACAAAATGGTATATCAGAAAAGCGTAATAGAACATTAATGGATATGGTTAGAAGCATGTTAAACAATTCTTCTTTACCCTTATCTTTGTGGATGTATGCTTTGAAAACTGATATGTATCTGTTAAACAAGGTTCCTAGTAAGGCTGTTCCAAAGACACCTTTTGAACTTTGGACTGGTAGGACTCCTAGTTTAAGGCACCTGCATGTTTGGGGTTGCCAAGCAGAAATAAGGGTTTATAATCCACAAGAAAAGAAACTGGATGCAAGAACTATCAGTGGTTATTTTATTGGTTATCCAGAAAAGTCCAAGGAGTTTAGATTTTATTGCCCTAATCATAGTACAAGAATTGTTGAAACTGGAAATGTTAGGTTCATTAAAAATGGTGAAATCAGTGGGAGTACAGATCCACAAAATGTGAAAATTAAAGAAGTTAAAGTACATGTTCCTGTGACTTGTGTTTCTAGCAATAGAGTTGTTGCTCCTTTTATTGCTACACCACAACATAATGAAGAAGAGCAACATAACACTGAACCAGTGATTCAAAATGAACCTATTGTAGAAGAACCACAAGAAATAACATTAAGGAGGTCTCAAAGAGAAAGAAGACCTGCTATTCCAAATGATTATGTGGTATATCTACATGAGTCAGAAGCTAACTTAAGCATTAATGATAATGATCCAGTTTCGTTCTCACAAGCCATAAGTTGTGATAATTCTATTTGGTTAGATGCCATGAAAGAAGAGTTAGAATCCATGGAACAGAATGGTGTTTGGGACCTTGTAAAATTGTCAGAAGGTTGTAAGAGAATTGGTTGTAAGTGGGTCTTCAAGACCAAACGTGATTCTTATGGTAATCTTGAACGTTACAAGGCCAGACTTGTTGCTAAGGGTTTTACTCAAAAGGATGACATTGACTATAAAGAGACATTTTCACCTGTCTCACGAAAGGATTCCTTTAGGATTATTATGGCATTGGTGGCCCATTATGACTTAGAATTACACCAGATGGATGTGAAAACTGTCTTTCTCAATGGAGATTTAGAAGAAAATGTTTATATGGATCAACCAATGGGATTCTCAGTTGAAGGAAAGGAACACATGGTGTGCAAATTAAAGAAGTCAATATACGGACTCAAGCAAGCTTCTCGTCAATGGTATCTAAAGTTCAACGATACTGTTGTATCCTTTGGATTTAAGGAAAACACTGTTGATCAGTGTATATATCTAAAGGTCAGTGGGAGTAAGTTCATATTTCTAGTTCTGTATGTTGATGATATCTTGCTTGCAGCTAATGATCTTGGTCTTTTATATGAGACTAAGAAGTTTCTTTCTAGTAACTTTGAAATGAAAGATATGGGTGAGGCAAGCTATGTGATAGGGATAGAAATATTCCGTAACAGATCACAAAGACTATTAGGTTTGTCTCAGAAAGCATATATCAATAAAGTACTAGAGAGATTCAGAATGAAAAAGTGTTTAGCATCATCTGTTCTAATTCAGAAAAGAGACAAGTTTAGTCTCGCACAATGTCCCAAGAATGATTTGGAACAGAAACAGATGGAAACAATTCCGTATGCATCTATGGTTGGGAGTATTATGTATGCTTAGACCTGTACCAGGCCAGATATAAGCTTTGCAGTTGGGATGTTGGGAAGATACCAGAGTAATCCTGGATTGGATCACTGGAAAGCTGCGAAGAAGGTTCTGAGATACTTACAGGGAACAAAAGAACACATGCTTACATATAGAAGGTCTGATCACCTTGAAGTGATTGGGTATTCAGATTCAGATTTTGCTGGATGTGTGGATACAAGAAAGTCCACTCTTGGTTATGTGTTTCTTTTAGCTAGAGGAGCGGTATCATGGAAGAGTGCAAAACAATCAGTTGTTGCTGCATCTACCATGGAAGCTGAGTTTGTAGCATGTTTTGAGGCTACAGTTCAGGCTAACTAGCTGCGGAACTTTATTTCAGAACTTGGAATAGTCGACAGTATTGCCAGACTACTGAAAATTTATTGTGATAATTCTGCAGCAGTGCTTTTCTCTAAGAACGATAAGTACTCTAAGGGTGCTAAGCATATGGAGCTTAAGTACTTTTCTGTGAAAGATGAAGTACAGAAACATAGAGTATTAATAGAACATATTAGCACAAACCTTATGATAGCGGATCCTCTGACAAAAGAGTTGCCGTCCAAGACATTTATTGAGCATATTGAAAATATGGACATTATTGTTTATGATGATTGTTAGATGTAATGATTACATTTTATGTATTATGCACTTGATACTCTGAGCTCACTTATGGATATGTTTCTGATTACCTGTTTTCTTATATGCATACATGATTGTATTGTGATGATGATGTAAACAGGTACCGTCTTGAATCAAGATATTATGTTTGACCAATTTTGTACTTCTCACTTACTGGTCACATTAAGGAGAATACTAATTTTGTAGTACATGGAAGGAAATATGTCGATTAAAGTGATGTACAACCGCCATGACTCAAATTAGTTCTTATTCTTAATTATGATTTATGATATACTCAATATATGAAATAATTTAGTCATGACAATGCGCATTATGATGATTTAATCTTTTATTTATTAGACCATGATATTAGATAATGTCACATGAGCCAAGTGGGAGAATGTAAGACTTTAAATGTCTCATGTGAGGAGCATGTGACTTGTCTAGGGTCTAATAAGTAATTAATTAATCATTAAGGGATAAATTGTAATTGAGTAAATGAGAAGCAGTTTTATAAATTTTAAATAATTATTGTTTGATGAAAATAGTGATTGAAACGGTTACGATTAAGAACGTGTGAAACAGATCCTCTTTCTGACTGTAACGTATTCTCTTCATTCACCATCAATAACGTAGAGAGAATAGAAGGATAAGTACAAAGAAGTAGAAACTGTGATTTTTCTCCCACATTGAAGAAAAATCATCAAGATTTAATTGTTTCTTTAACGATGGACATATGTTAGTCAATTCGTTCATGTGAGAATCATGATATTTCAAGTTCCAAATAATTATATACCTTTTATGTTAAAAACTTACAATTCATCGTAAAAGAGTGTGTTAGTATTTAATTTGTCTATTGATTGGCATGTGAGTTTGATGTTGGCAATTGGATTGTACCGGGCTAATCTTACGTAGATCTAGCTAGGTTGAGAAAATTCCAAATTAGCTAGTTTTTGAAGTCTCAAATATAAATTCTTCCTGAACCACCGAAATAAATATAATTCAGAGTACCATGAAGAGAGAAAGAGAGAGAGAGCAGTCGTAAAATACAAACACATTACCATTTGGTTTACTGTTTCATCTTCCGAATATGGTAGCTCATTATAGGACTAGCCGAAATATCATATCAAAATTAGGAGAGAGGAGCTGTCCTCATTATAGTTGTATTCAATTCAACATGCGCTCCCCTCACTGGGGGCACGTGCGTATGTTCACCGTCCATTCATTATTGCCGCTTAGATAAATCTTATAATGCATACTTAATGCCTTTTAATTCTCTCCACTCTTATCAAGTGCTTTCCTTCGCCACAATCAGGCTATTATGGTATTCAGAAATGTTAACACAGAGTTCACGTAATCGATATGTTTTTAAAACTGACTATTTATTAAAAATGTGTAGTTAACATTTTGGAGATAACCCACAATATCAAAACTAATATAAGTTTGATTTGGATTGATGCTACTGCCTTGCTAACATAGTAGCAGGTACAGTTCTACGTACTGTCATCTTTTTTAGCTTCAACTTTTAGAGAGACTCAATCACAATATTAAGTTGATAAAACTTGCAAGTTTTAGAGAATTAATTCACTATGATTTTAACTTTTGACTCACTTAATGAACTATTTTTTGAGGCCCACATTTTCCTTTCAACCTAATATCCCAACTTGTAGAGTTAGCAGCTAGCAAATAAAGACTAGGATGCAATTGAGGAATATAAGATGTAACCAAACTAATCGGTTGATCAAATAGATAATACTACTTTGTTATGCTCCACCGAGATCATAAGTGCTTACGTTGGTTGAGTAACGGTGATGTGTTAAGATCAGCTACTTGCTTTAATGAAAACAAATGAATAGAACAAAATTGCCAACTTAGCTGGGTAGCTTATAAAGCCATTCTTCACTAAAATACCCAATGCGTGTATAGAAAATTGCTTGTTGATCTATTGCTGAAAGCCTTGAGGTGGGATATACTGTTCTATTTTATCAATATTGCTATAGTTTATTTCAGAACAATGTGTATTGCTTTGTTTCTTTGGCAATGCCATCCAGTGTACCCTTTTCTTCTTCTGAATAACAGAGATGAGTATCACAATAGGCAAGTTCTTCTTTACTTTATAAAAGTTTTTAGTACTAGTTTGATTTGTGGAATATGTATTCATTTGGGTGTTATTATTATTTGGATGAAGGCCTACAAAGCCAATATCTTGGTGGGAAGATTGTGATATTTTGGGAGGAAGGGACGAAATAGCAATGGGAACATGGTTGGCTTGTTCAACAGAAGGAAGGGTGGCTTTTCTTACCAATGTTTTGGAGCTTCATACCCTCCCCGAGGCCAAAAGTCGTGGAGATTTACCCGTTCTATTTCTCAAGGTATATTTAGACACACTCACACCCTTCAAGACTCTCTTGTAAGTACACCGTACCTAACATAAAATAAGTGTACATGAAGAAAGCGACAAGAGATAAGTGGATCCCTTGTCACGTGCTAATTTAGTCGTTTGGTACATCAAAACATCACTGTCACAAGTCACTGCTTCAACTGAATGATTTTGTGTACAACCAATTTGCACTAAGCTTAAGTCAATTAACATTATTGTTATAAATTTTTCTCACGTTATATTTGAAGTGATGATGTGTGTTATTACTTCCTAGTAGTTGGTAATATACAAAAATTGAGTAAGCTAATCACCTCTATCCAATTTCTAACTCACTTCAATTAACCGCGCATGTTTCTAGTTTCAATAACACTTCGATAATATCAGCAAAAAACCACTATCCTTATTTCTGATGCACTTTCCACGGAACTATGACTTCGGTTTTCATCTTTCCAGCACAAAGAAAAGAGAACAATGAATAAGAATAATGGTAAGCTGGGAAATTTTTGCTTTGCCAAGAGACTCATGGTACCGTTTTTGGCTCTAGTTTACATCTTAAGACACCCCAATTCTTCTCATATCTCAATCTTATGTATCAAGTATAACTGTGCAAATTAACTTCCAAACTGAATATTGTTCAAATTTACTAATTTTTTTGGTTTTATTTTTTGTACCCATGTTGATGAATAATGGCAGAGCAGCAAGCAACCCCAAGAATTTGCAGAAAGCCTAAAATCTGATGCTCATTATTACAATGGGTTCAACTTAATCGTGGCCGATGTTGTGTCCAAATCAATGGTGTACATATCCAACAGGCCAAAGGGACAACCTATTACCATTCAAGTGGTTCCACCAGGGTTGCATGTACTTTCAAATGATAAGCTAGATTCTCCATGGCATAAGGTTAGTTAATATAGTTATTACACCATCTCTTTATATTAATAAAATAGAAATGTCATTTTCTCATAGATTGGGAGAGGAAACATGAAAAAACTGTACCTACTAAAGTTTTTATTTGGGGGCATTTAGGTTTAGTTAAGCACTTATTTATTAATTTTTCTATACGTGGACTTATATTATAAATATGAAAAATAATAGGCTCCATTGATATTGACACATGGAAAAAAGAAAAAGCAGTAAAAAATGCTAATTTGAGTAACTTTTTTGCAGGCTCAGCGCCTTGAATTCAGTTTCAAAGAAGAAGTTAGCAAATATGGGGAAGCTGAGATACCTGTGAAGGAGGTGATTCAAAAGCTGATGAAGGACAGAGTTAAAGCTGACAAAAGCTTACTACCTTGTATATGCTCACTTGATTGGGAATTTAATCTGAGCTCCATTTTTGTTGAAGTAGAAACACCATTGGTAAGTTAAAAAGTGTACCAATGTTAATTCATTATTAATCATGGAATGGAACCATTGACTTATTGACCAATCCTTTCTACATGTATAGGGTCTATATGGCACTAGAAGTAGTGCTGCCTTAACCGTAAGATCAAGTGGGGAAGCAAGCTTTTATGAGCATTATCTCGATAACGGCAAATGGAAGGAACATGTCATCGATTTCCATATCCCCAAGACTATATAGAGCTGTGAAGGATGAAGTAGCCTAGGCATAAGCAATATGTAACACAATGTTAGCTTTCCTATGCTTCAGTGATGCAATTTATTATTCATATTTATATAATTGATAAGATATGCCATCAATAAGCACGGCTAGTAGAGTGCGTGTAACAAGATTATAATGAAATAGTCTTAATGATTCATAACATGTAAAAGAAGCAATTTCTAATGGGAGCCTTTGTGGATTTTGCTAATAATGTCTCATTAATAGCAGCAGCAACGAGCCTCACCGATTTTGAAGTTGGGGGTTATTCTAACTTTGCAACCCAACACCTACAAATGGGCCCTATCAATTTAGATCTCCCACAAAACTCATTTCCTTCAAACTAAAATGGAGCAAAAACGCAAACTATAAAGGGCCTATGTTCACATCACATTAATATAGCTCCGCAATAAGCCTACAAAATAGGAAGAGTGTGGCTTGTTCCCTTTGGAAATTTATTTTCACCAAAAACAATATCGACTTTGTCTAATGTTATTTTAAAACTTCTGTCATTGACATTTATATTTATTAGTTTTTTAAGGATTTCTCATATTTGTTACTAATGCCGAAAATGAATCGAACAATACGAGTTTCAGAAGAATACATTACAAATTGAAGGAAACAAATCACTTGCCGTTGAATGGTGATTAGTTTTATATTTTTTTTTATATATTATCAAATACAAATGTTAAGATAGTAAAATACAATGCATTTGGCATTTTCGAATGGATTTATTTTAGTACTCTTGGAATGTATATTTCCGCTCTTTTAACGTAAGACACTTGACCAATATGAGTTCTATTTTACTCTCCCTTAATGGTTTCGTGAGGTCTGAGAAGGATAGCACAGGTGTAATATCGTGAACTAAATTAAAACTAAAATAATATCTTTATAGATACCAATGAATCACGATGCAATACTAGTAAACTAATGAGTCGCTTCCACCTGTTGTGAATTAAGAATCAAACTTGGGCTTATCATCCAGGAACGGAACTCGTTCGTTCCAACGATACAAATGTTAATTGTTTGCAAAAGCAGGACGGTAGAATCCTAAATCCTGACGAAGATTTTGCCACCACCTCGCGTATACCTAATTATTGCCCATCTATCATTCTCTTGAAAATGACCGCTCGTTCTTAAGTCGGTTTCAAAAGGGACTCAACAACTAGTCAATTTTACAATTTATAACTAACCATCTGCTATTATAACTTCGACTTTTGAACAGATTCAAATCTTTCATTCACATTCCTCTAATCAGATATGGATTTACGATTACAACATTTCCCTTTGGTCAATTTAATTTGATGATATCTACAATAAAATTTTCGTATAATTAATGTAATGGGACATCAAAAGGAACAGGGTACTCCTAAATATTAAAATTCAGCCATTCGCAGGGGTTAGGGGGTTTCTTGCATGACTTAAATTATTGTCGTTTGCATGTGGATGGGACCTCTATTAGCCAGTGACTTCATCTTTCATGACAGGGCCATCAAAGTTATTGAATGAACGTCAATTCTTTATTTGTTTGGTCGGTAGTAAAATAATCAAAATTTGACATTTGGACACACAACTGTTCGTCGGCTTTAGAACAGTCATAAGCCAATTGAGTCCAATATGAATAGTATAGAATATAGATATTTAAAATGAATTTAAGGTATACCACGTTGCCTGCATCGACGGGACTACGCTTGTTTCCTTTTCCATCCACCGCCCGCTCCGACCCCTAAAAAAATGAGCTTAGGATATTACCCGCTTCGAATGTATTCGGTCTGTTTAATTTTCTCTGTTTTTGGTCAAATTGATTTTAATTCATATATTTACATTTAAATAAAATATATAACGACGAAGACAAGAAGAATAGTGGTCTTCGAGACAGATGCAACAGAGCTTGTTTCAACGATGGAAAAATGTGTTTTGGTGGGATGAAATTGAGCAACATCTGTTATTTCAACCTCGCTGCTAGTGGTAAAAATGTCAACTGCCTATCCATTCATTACTCAAAGAACAGGAAGACATTCATGTGGTAAAAATAAGTTTAAAGCAAAATAGAACGCTTGATTCCATAGTTTTTACAAACAATAGCAAGCACGGAAATTCATACAAAGGCAAAAATTAATCTATCATTTGAGCTCTAACTTTAAAAAAAAAAAAAAAAGCTCACAAGAGCACAAATTTACAATTGCTTCTCCACAAAATTTAACAGAAAAATAACCCTGTAAAACATCTCGACAAATCAAATTTTCAACCTAGTCAAGAAATCCTCTGATGGATATGCACGTGGAGCAGATAGCTGTACATCTTGAAGGCACTCCACTCCATTAAAACATGCAGTCTAGATAAGATAACTATTGTGGCGTTTTCTGATGAACTCTAACAAGCTACCATAGGTTCGGTCAGCAATACCCACAAATAGAGCCTCTGTGTCCGGGCTAAAGGATACACCAGCAATCTCGCCAAATAGATCTATTTCTTGACCTTGTACATAGCCAGAATGTGAGTCAAAAATATGAACGAAGTCTGCTGGCTCAGCCATGGCCAAAAACCGTCCATCAGATGTGAATTTTAAGGCTCTTATTGCACCCATTCTTCCCTTTAGCACAGCTATAGACTCTGAAGGATTCCTTATGTCCCACAACCTACATGTTGTGTCCTGATTCCCAGTGGCCAATATTCGTCCATCTGGGTGCCAAGCCGATGCAAAAGAGTAGTCTAAGTGCCCTTTTAGGCTCCCTGTAACCTGAGTAATTCCATAAGATATATAAAAAATCAGAAATCGAATAAAACATTAACGACAGTAAAACCTAAAAAACAACTGCAATATTGAACGTACCTTTCCGGTGTTAGCATCAGCTATCAAGCACTCCGTACTGTCCCCAAGAACAGCCAACAGCTTTCCATCCGGACTAACAGAAGCATTCTACAGAGTGACGTACGTAAAGGTAATTGTTATTTGCATAAAAGACTTTTAGAGTTGAAGACTACGTAGCAGGAATATCAGTTAATGACACTCACATTAACAGACCAATCATACTTGAAACACCCAAGAGAAGAAAAACTCTCCACGTCAAAAACCCGAACTTGGGAATCATTATTTGCCGTGATGGCCCTCAACGACCCACTGCAAAGTGAAGGTTCGGTTAAACCAAATCAAAACGAAAAATCAAAATTTCAAACTTGAGGTTCTGCATTTAGCTGCTTACATTGGATTGCGGTAAACATCAACAGCATTGGTTATGGCATTATCATCTGTAGTTATTTTACCGCAGAATGCTACTCCCGGATGACTCAAATTCTGGTCCACAAATAATTCACACACATTTAAAAAAGAGGCCTTCATATAGTTGATTATTATATTGAAAGAAATGATCTACCATACCTTGCAAATCAGCTCACCCTGAAAACCACCCGCCACCGTCAGGTTTTCCTTAACGGTCATGGTGCTTATTTGCACTCTGGAGACAGGCTGAGCCAAAAATCCATGACGCTTCTACAACAGAACATAAGAACACTCATATCCAAATATCCAATGCATTGAGTAGAAAAGAAACACATCTGATTAACTAAGTGGTTACATACAAGGGTTGGAATAATTGGTTTGGCTACATTAAGCACTTCTTTACTCCTTCGTAGTATCGAGGACCAATGCATCACTGAGTAGTTTTGCATTAGGTATACATCATGCTTTGAAGTTGCCCACAGCAAATTCCTCAGCTGCACAGACGTGAAAATGGATGACATCAATATCGACACCCAATTGGAAAAGAGAAAGAGTAGCATATAATTATGGTAAACAACCACCGATATCAATCTAAGCCTCATACTCCAGCATTGAACATGACCCGTTAATTAGAAATGTTTCTATCAAATAATATAACTGGTAGAATTAAGAATAGTAGTAGGGTATACCATGTCAGAGTATCGTGGTATGAAGTTATTGTATTAGTACATTGATTGTGATTTGTCTTTGTTCGTATGTCTATAATTTGTACTTGACTTAGATTACCAGTGTAAAAAGAGATAAAAAGGTCAGTGTTTTGCACAGCAAATTCTCTTTTCCCTTGTCCATAATAATCACTAAAATTTCAGCACTCTATATTCCGGAATGAGTTACACGATTACAAAATTATGCACTTATGAGTAACTGAAATCCTATTTTGTTAATTGGATGGCAGGAATTTTAATTGTGGCAGATGATATTGGTCTTAAAGCACAGAATTATATAGATAGTGGAGAAGGCCTTGTATCTATGAGTCAAAGATGGACATGAGGACGTCATGTGTGCCAGTGAGAGAACAAGGAAAACAGACGTAGAACAGAAAAGGCTTGGGTTTTAAAGTGTAAATACCAGAATGGTCGTTCCAGATTGAATATTACAATGTCATGGAAATAAATAATCACCAATATATGCAAAGTTTATGATCCCCGACAGGAAGGCAAACAAGAATACAAAACTTTCAGAGAAAACTTGACCATAAATGTTTCCAACAAATTAACCCAAGGGCTTTACTATGATTTAGGAACATCTACGTACTAGAGCAGTAATTAGGTAATAGGCTATAAAGGAGGAAAAGAACTACATAAAGTAAACAGTAAATCAGTAATTAAATGATAACTAATCTATATACAAGATGATCCTAGAAATATACGGCCAAGCATGAAGAGGCAAGGCCTCTTTTGACAACAACGAAATCAACACTAACTAATAACAGATATTGTTAGAGCCCTCTCAAATGTGGTTAGATATTTTCCTATCATACCATAAAATAAGGTCCTGCCAAGCTGCTCACTTTCCACCTGCTTTAAAAGCTGACAGAGAGAGAAATAGAAGGCCTAAATGTAGAAACAGGTTAAGCAATAAATTAAACTGCAGAAACAAATAATGCTACAGTCACTACGTTAACAGATATATATGAATTACAAAGGCAAATAAAATGCTTGTATAACGGAATGATCATACATAAAAAGTAGTAAAATAATAAAGTGAACCACCCATGGAGGTTCAAAATTATTTGAAGGTACAGAAAATGGTACAGACTATGGACACCTTAGCTTAAGAATTATTAACTCACAGTTGTTGCTGCATTGTTGCAGTTATAAGGGGCTATTCTACAACTGTATAAGCATAGAACTTACCAATATTACTTGTAAAAAAAGAAATAAATCCTTGTGACACAACTGCTGATGGCATTGCCCTAAGTTTTATTTGTAAAACAAGAAATAAATCCTTTTGACACAACTGCTAATGGCATTGCCCAAAATTTTATCTCTTGTAAATAAATTTTGAGATAAAAGGAACTCGAGACGATTTTTCGACCATGGAAACCTTTCCCCTCCCAGCTTTCGATAAAAGAGAACACCAATCCAGGACTAAAATATTGGGCTTCAGAATCCAAAATAGATTGTTGATTTAACCAAAATTAAAGTAACGTGGGCCAACTTTTACAGGGTAAGACTGCTAATTCCACTCAAAAGCAGTACAGGTATTATACATTACAATGAAACGTGCACGAAATCATTATTAGCAATCCATTTCAAACGTGGGAGAAGGTGGTGCAAAGTCGACAAAGCTCTGTTAGCATGATTCAAGTTGTTGCATGTGGATGTGGATAGGTGGCTGTGTGTGCACCGTCTTTATGTTGCAAGAAAACACATAATATAGATGGACCAAAATCTTTTCACAAGAAATCACCAAAAATTTAAGAATATCAAATCATACCATAGCCTTGATGCATCCATATCCATAAATTAGCATGAAACCGTCTTGTCTGTAGAAAAGAATATCCGGTGTCTATTGGAGATAATTCTTTTGAAAATTCTTTGTTTCTTAACAAAGAAAGCTGAATAACAACTAGGTTGAATAAGGCAAAAAAAATCCATTGAGAAACATCTGCCCAAAAAAACGAGGATTTCGGAATAAAAAAATAAAAAATCCCAGATTTAAAAGCCTTCAAGTACGGCAAAATATAAAGACCCTGCTGAAACATAAAGTAGATTCGCATTTTTTTATAAAAGACAAATCCGGGCATTGCATAAATTAAACCAATACAGAATTGTTCAAAACAGTTATTTACGTAATTATCTTACAGATTTAAGTGAGAGAAAATTATTTTCACACATTAATCTTGAAAACACATCAAACACCAACTTGGTTGGGAGTTTGTACATATAAAATACGAAAGAGATTAAATCCTTTTATAAAGGAGGAAGCCTTTAATTCCATCCGTGCGTAAAAGAACAACACAAATTCCATAATCCTGCAAAACTAGAATACCAAAATTATGCATCACAAAACTTTTCACCGTCAAAGTAATTAAAGCAAACAATCCATTTATCTGATAAAAACGGTTCATAAAAAAAAATAGAAATAAAAAAGTCAGCACTATAAGAAAGATAATAACACATCAGACAGATGAACGCAAACTTACGATGTTTCGTTATTCAATGACAATAATATATGCGTTTAAATGGAACAAGTAGCAGCTAATGGCAAATGAATCATCCCAACACCCCCAAATGTCCTGGAATTAACATAGTAAGTGGCGATGAACAAAGTCTCTACCTGGAAATGCACAATTGTCGATTTGACAAGCCTTGTATTGAACTGGAAATCATAGAAGGCCTCCCCCTTCTGCACCTTCAAACACTCCTGCAAACCCAGAAAAAAAAAAAAAAGGTTTAGCAACACGACACGAAGTGGTATTTATTTGTAACAAAGGCGTGAAACCAAAAAGCATAAAAAGCGACCTTATCGAGGTCCTGACGAGAGCGCGAAAGGTTCTCGTAGTTCTTATACTGCTTCAATCGAGTCTCGCGATACTTGTCTCTGCTAAAATTAAGCCTCTCCCACGGAATTCCCTGAATATCTTTCCCGTTTCTCGCTTCCCAAGCAGACGTATCCGTCTTCGCATTAGTCTGTTACAAAATCTCACCATCATCTCACCGATAGACTAAGCAAAATCTTTGAAAGAGTTGAGAATGAAATTTACCGTTGCAAAATCATCTTCAAAGTCGGAGTCCTGAGAATCGAAATCGGAGGTTGGTTGAGGAACAATGTCGTCGTCTTCGAATTCAGCGACGTCGAAGTAGTCATCGAAGACGTACTCGAGATCGTCGTTGTTAAAGTGCTCCATGATTGTTTTATGTTATTTTGATAGACACAGAAAGAGTACAAGGAGAAGTGATAACGAAAAGAAAGTGAGAAGAATATTTCGTTGCGTAAAGGGCGGAGAGCGAGAGGAGTGAGGGGTGTTGTACTTATAGACAGTGAAAGAAGGTTAAGGAAGTAGGAAGAAGAAAGGAGGTTGAGGGAGTGGGGTCCATTGGCCTTGCGGTATTAAGAGGAAGTGGAATCCGTGGGCTGTGCTGTGGGCTCCGTTTAACCGCCCGTTACTGTTCCTCCTCTGCCGTTACTTCTCATCACCTCCACGCCAGGGCCTTGGGTTGGCTTTCATTGGTGTGAACCCCTGGGTTAGTTAACCTAATTAGATATGGATAAGTTAACCCATCCCATTTATCCTTTACATATACTAGTCAATGAGACTTGATAAAATAACACAAGTTCATTAGCTTATGCATCCAAAACGTAAAATTCAACACGCACTAAAACCGTCATAACCCTATCTAACTTCCATGGCATCACTGCCGTACATGTGTATGCGTGTGAATCAAAAGTCACGCAGAAAGTGTTTTGAATTTTTCAAAACTATATTAAGGACACGACTTTGTACGTGGATGATTTTTTTTAAGTAAATTACCATATTTGAGTTTTACGTATAAAAAATATTATTAAAAATTTTAATCTCACCAGAATTTTATGTAGTCGTATTTTAAAATTTTAAACTTAATTAACATAGAATGCTCTCATATAAGCTGATTTGTGCTTTTAGACATAAATTTTAAACCTTTATATTCATTGATTATTCATCATGCATATTCATTAAGATGAATATTTTTAAAATAATATTTATTGAGCATATTATACTTTATTGATATTTGTTACAACAAACACAAAAAATAACATTATTATAAACACTTATTGCCAAGTATTATAAAAATTGTGGAAAATCAAAGGAAACTGCCACTTTGGAGTTCAACTCAAGATAGTCAATTTTTAGGCTTATGTTAATTTTATTTGAATTTTTAAAATTAAAAAAATTATAATCGTATTTTTAAATAGGAATTTTTTTAAAAATCAGTTAAAATATTTAAATTAAGCAATAAATGCATAATCATAATGCATTATAATAAATTTTAACACGACAATAATAATATAAATGAATGCATTATTATTATTATGTTGATGAAGGGAAGAAATTGAGAGAGAAAAAAAAACAAGAATATTTAATAAGAAATATAGTGAAAAACATTATGTTATTTAAATGAATAGAATTAAGACAGAAAATACAGAAGAATCACTTGTTTAGATAAATGAAAATTAAGTGTAAAAAGAAATAAATAATTGTCTAAACATATTTATATATTTTTTAAAAATTAAATTGAACAATTTTTTTATTTTTATGGTGTTATTTTTTATATTTATTGTTATAAAAATATTATTTTATTTTTCAATAAATTTTTTATATTTTAAAATAAACTAAAAATGTATAAAACTTGCTATTAGATAACAGCTTTGTTTCTATCAAAATCGCGCTAATCGAGGCGATACAGTATTTTGTTAGATTTCACAAAATTATTTTCTTCATTTTTCACTTCGGACAAACTTACAACACCTAAAAACAAATTTATTTATCTTCTTATCTTTCCGAGTCTCCGACATGTCAAACAAAGCATATGTGTAAGCTTGAGACATACAAAGTAACCTCCTCATCCCTGTCACGGTGTCTTCTCGCTGCATATTAAACAAAATAACATTTGGATTTTTCAAAATATACTTGTCATTTGATACTTTTAAAAATTACGCTAATGTATTATCATTAAATTACAAATAATTTTAAAGTTACTGACTTTACAATTATCTAAATCATCAAATAAAAATATTATTTTTTTATATTTTAAACAATGAATATATTTCAAATTTAGCATTTACTTTATACAGAAATAAAAAAAAATCTAAAAATATATGTTAAAGATAAAAGAAACTCTTAAAATATTTAAATTATTTAATTGAATGTAATTGTAAATATGGAGAAAGTGTTAGCAAATGTAAATAATGAAAACATAAATAATCTACTAATTACAATTTTAGTATATGAAAACTTACGTGAAAATTGTGGGTGAAAGAAACGTTTGAAAACAAGTTTAGCATAGATTGGAAAAAAGTTGAAGAGTGGTCCCCATTGAACCAATGGTTACTTCGGAAGGGGAAATGGAATCCACGAGTGGCGATTTGAGCAGTCCACGTGGCTGCCTGAGAGCACAGTTGAAGAAGCCTGGCGATCAGAGGTTTCGCCACGTGGCCGAACGTAGAACGGCTGGTCCACATACTTTGATTTCTCCAACAGCTAACACCGTTTACTCAGCGTTTATTTAACCATGATTAGTTTTGTTGAGTCGTTGACCTTAAAATCACGCAGCTCTGACCTAGTCAGTTAGCCTTTGTTTCACCGCCTCATCCCAGTTAGTACGAGGACCTTAGTATAATCAATTGTTTATTCAGCTATATCTTTTATTTATTTTTAAAGTGTTTTTTATATAAATATTATATATAAATGTTAAATATTTTCATCATTTTATTAAGAGAATTCACAAAATTAAAGGATAAAAAATATTTTTTTAAAATTTGACCCAAATTGTTTGAAAGAGTTACACTAGAAATCGATAAATTTTTAAAAAATTGCGGAATTCTCTTAAATTAATTTAGTCTAGTTCAATTTTTTGATATTAAATATTATAATTTTTAGAAAAAAATATTTTTAATATTTTAATATACATTATTAGACACATGTTAAAAAATATATTCAAAATTAATGAACAGATTAAAAATAATTAATATACTAATATCTTATATAAGTAATATAATAAAGTTGTCCATTAAAAAAATAATTAATTCATCCAAATTGTTTCGTTTTGATTTAAGTTTTATACTACAGTTTAACTAAACTAAATTGAACTGGAAGTATTTTTAATAGTCCAATGAAATAAAATGAAATGTTGTTTTAAATAGTCTAAACAACAAAATAGTTTTAAAATCATTGAATGATAAGCTTTTCTTCACTTTTAAATTAAGGAATCAAGGATATTAAGGCATGATTAAAATGCAGCTATGTGAAGGTCTAGTGCCATATGTAGTCATCTTGATGCAATCAAAATAAAGTTGATTAGCTAAAAGTAATGTTTAAATATATCGTTAGTTTTTAATTATTTATGTCGATTTTAATTTTTTATATTTTAAAGAATTTGATTTCTTTTAGTTTTCACAATGTTAATTTTTTAAAGTTTTGTCATGATACAATAAAAAACATCACTATATCAATAAATTCATTGACATAACTCATCAAAATATTTTTTATTTTTATTTGAATAATTTTTATAAACAAACTTATATTCTAGGAGCCATTTGAGTTTCTTAAAATAAGTCTTATGATGAATTTTACGACATAAATTATTGTATGAAAAATGAATTAAATATTAAAGGTATCCAAATTTGTTATGTGAAAAAAATTACTAAATCAAAATTGAATTAAATTATTGATCAAAAACGTATTTTATTAAATTAAAATTTTAGTTTTTACTAAAAATAGCACTGAAATATTTTTAAAAAATTACATTTAAAATTTATTATTAATTAAGTATTTTATTATTTTGCGGTCCAAAACGTACATAAAATCACATTAACGGAACATTAAACAAAACAAAAAAAGTTAGGGAAAAGCGGAGGTTCCTTGCGATTCACGGAAGAGAAACGGTTGGAATGAATTAGTTTTATATATATATATAAAATCAAATAATTTATCCTATATGATAATATATGAGTGTACTAAAAGATTACTTGTTATAATTATTTACAACATTTTAATAACCGACACTGGAAAGCACTGCCAACTGCCTAATTAGATAAGGTAACGAAGAAGATTAATTAGATAGGGAATTTTAATTAATTTGGAGTTGATGGGACACATTGCACTCAGAGGGGGTATTTTATTCAATTAATATTTTAACTTTTCGAGGCAGATATTTTTGAATAATAGGTTAGTTTTCAAGGTGTCGTCTCATAAGAAACTGTCTCAAACTGTTCTAATGTTTGATTTTTTTCAGAAGAGTGATGGTTCTGGTTCCATCAAATATCATTCATTACTCTAATTTGATTAACTTTCAATTTTACTTACGTTAAAGACAAGCTTTCTATTAATTAGAAAAGAAAGCGTGTCATTCTTTCTGAACTTGAAAATGGTAGCAATAAGATAAAGTGTCAGCAGCAATTGCTACGAGTCCATACGTTGTCATTTGAATAAGATAAAATTTAAAATAATGGATTTTTCAAAAATAAAATAAGTTGAAATGTGAAAAGTAAAATAAACCTTATTTTAGTTACATATTGATGCTGCATTTTTTTTCTCTCGCATCAACCTGATTTTTTTTTTTATCCAAAGTATTAAGGAATAAAGGTGGCTGACATGGGCCACTTTTCATCATCTTTGGGTTTAAACAGTTGTAGTCACTACCAACTTCCATGCCCAAGCCCGTTCGTCGCTGGAATTAAATTATTGGCTGAAAGCCCACTCTTTGAAAGGAAAAAGAATATTGACAAAAAAAAAAAAAAGGAAAGGAAAAAAATAATTATCGTTCTTTTCTAGCTCATTGGCATTTACAAAAAGTAGTTTTATCTAAACCAAATTTATCAAATATTCAAATTGTAAAATGCTACAACATTTTGTAGATTGAGATATAAAATAATAAATAAGCGGTGATGATAAAGTTAATTTAAGAATAATTATTGTCAAATTTTTTATTTAATATTTATTTATAAATATTAAATTTCATCAATATAATTAGTTGATTATTTTTTATTAAATATATTAAATTTATAACAAATTAATTAACACTTTACAAATAATATTGTATACATTTTTAAATATAAATAAATAATTACAAAATTACATATTTTTAATCGTATATTTTATCAAAATTTAGTAGACATAATTAATGTATTAGTATCATATTATTTAATAGTTGAATTAATACAAAATATTTTTATAAGAAGTTTTTGCTTAAAATAATTATAACAGAAGTATTCTTTTATGTCACTTAATTTCTATCTTAAAAAAGTATTTAACTTAATAGTTTAAGTTTCACGAGATTTGATCCTCGATACAGTATCAGAGTTTTAATCAATTAGTCAAGTTACAGAAGTCAAGTTAAATTACAGTGTTATTTATTTAAATAATTACTCATGTATTTCTTATGAACTTTTTCGAGTTATAAAATAATAAATAAGTTTAATATTTTTAGAATTTAAATGAAATGCATTAATAGTTTTTTTTTTTTATATTGTATCAAAATTACGTTCACAGACAGAATCACAGTTAATTTTTTTATGATATACACACAATTTATATATACAATTTCACTATAAATTCACCTCTATTTTATAATTTTGAATAATTATTTTTAAATAATAATATTTTTAAGAGTTACTCTTATGGTTGTTAAATTAAATTTTTTCCTATATTAATTTTTTTTTTGTTAAATTAAATTTAAATTAACTATAATTAATACACGTGATGTGAAATAATTAATATAAACAACTTTTTTTTTATTAATATCGATTAAAGACAGTATATTACTCAAAGCAATAAAACAATATCCCTGACATTCTTAACTCGATATATGTTAACGTATGTACATTGCTTTTAAATTTTTCTTCGTTAGACAAACTAAAATAGTTTACTGCTTTTAAAATTTTTATATATTCATTCACGTCATTATCAATTTTATTTATCCCTCTCAAACAACATATCTGATAAAATTTTAAAGTATTAATATATTTATTTGTATTTATAACTATTATATTTTAACTTCTAATAAAGTTTTACCTGTTGATTATACATTACGATTTATCCATAGGCATGAAAAATAGATATTCTTATAACTTTATCATAAAAATATTTAATAAATTGATTCAAATTTATAATGTCATATTACATAACAAATAAGACTTGTAAAATGCACGTGGCAAGAGTTAACACACGAAACACTTTTCGTGTACGACTTTTGGAGACAATTTAGTTTTGTTTTATTTTATTTTTACTATACTTTTGGGATATACAGAGTACAAATGTATATATGATCTCAATTTTTAATTATTTAAATAATAAAACTGAATTCAGTATTTCATATCATAATATTAATTTGAATCTAATGTTTACAATTAAAATGAATTTAATAATTTAACAAACAAAAACAAACAATTCTATTGAAAAGAACTGTACCATAAAATATGGTATAAAATGAAAAGAACAATAATTGAGAAAAACAACTGTAACACCACGTTATAGCTTGACATTGAACACCGATAGGTGGGTGCATTACTGCAGTATCGGTTTGAGGGTATGGCCCTCTCAGTCTCAGTCTCAGTAGCCTTTACCTTTACCTTTGTACCATTAATTTTCCTAACTCTGTTCCACGCCAATGCCCAGTTATCTGAGCCACCATTCGCTTGCGATTGGTCGAACCCATCCTCCAGATCCTACCCCTTCTGCAACCCAAAGCTTCCAATCTCTCAACGCACCAAAGACCTTGTTTCTAGACTCACATTGGATGAAAAACTCTCCCAACTCGTTAACACAGCCCCTCCCATTCCGCGACTGGGTATTCCCGGTTACCAATGGTGGAGTGAAGCACTGCATGGCGTTGGAAACGTTGGTCGTGGCATTCGCTTCAATGGCACCATCTCCTCTGCCACTAGCTTCCCTCAAGTTATCCTCACTGCAGCCACCTTTGACTCCCACCTCTGGTACCAAATCGCCCAGGTCAGGACTCACTCGTAGTTACCATTAAACTATGTTAGAATTTTAATGCACAATTTTAATTTGTCATTAAGGAAGTAACGTGTGGATTTGTTATCTAATTAATTATTTTTTTAAATTTATTTTGAATTTGATGTTCTGTGTTGAAGGCAATTGGAGTTGAAGCGAGGGCTATCTACAATGCTGGGCAAGCTATGGGAATGACATTTTGGGCTCCGAATATTAACATATTTAGAGACCCCAGATGGGGGAGAGGACAAGAAACAGCTGGCGAAGACCCATTAGTGTCTTCTCACTATGCAGTTTCCTATGTCAGAGGCCTTCAAGGAGATTCCTTCAAAGGAGGAAAATTCAGGGGTCATCTTCAAGCTTCTGCTTGTTGCAAGCATTTCACGGCTTATGATTTGGACAATTGGAAGGGCGTCGATCGCTTTGTTTTCGATGCTCGCGTAAGTTGTCATGTCACACACACACTCTAGTAATGTTTCAGGATTGTATATTCAATATTTGCAATGGTGGGTCTCTGATTGATTTGTATATGATGATCATGGGGTGGTTAATGCTTGTTTACTTTATCTCTTTTTGCCTTTTTCTGAATGTCCGGTATACATTATTATTATGATGTAGGTTACTTTGCAAGATTTAGAGGACACATATCAACCTCCATTTCAGAGTTGTGTACAGCAAGGACGAGCCAGTGGGATAATGTGTGCTTACAACCGCGTCAATGGGGTTCCAAACTGTGCGGATTTCAATCTCTTAACCAAAACCGCCAGAAAACAATGGGGTTTCCATGGGTGATTAATTAGTCCTTTGTTTTTATTTTCTAATTCTTTTAAAAGCAAGTGTTAATTCTTTCATAAAATGGAAAGTTTATGGGTGAAACAATCAGGTATATTACGTCGGATTGTGGAGCAGTGGGGATCATACATGACAAGCAAGGGTATGCAAAATCACCAGAGGATGCTGTAGCTGATGTTCTTCGGGCTGGTATGGTGGCACCCAACCCTTCGTTGTCGTTATCATTTATCTTTCATTCCCTTGCTTTAGGTGATAATAATAATAGCCATCATACTACTAATTACTAAATCTTGGCTATAATTGAAATCACAAAGTGAAATGGGTAATTTGTAATTACCTGATCGCAAGTTCCTTTTATGCTTTAAGCCTTTTTTTGTCGGTTATCAAGCCTTTGGATTTTATCCTTAAGCCTAAATTAATGGTAAAGTCTTATGGTTAGGCCCACACTACCAGGCTGGCCCCAGTGCCACTACCCATTATCTCATCTTGGATCTCTTTTATTTTGTGACAATTATTTTTTTATTAAGTTTAGGGAAGGGGAATTATTCTTTTTCACAATTATCCCTTTTTAAAGTTTCTTATATCAGTTTTCTATTTAAAGAACGACCAATTGCATAACTTTTACTTTACTTTATATTCAAATATATGTTTTTCTTTTAAAGCATTTAAATTTTATCTCTTCGGCTCAATCTGTTCTTGTCTATATGTCTTTCTTTTTCTCGATTTCGCCTACATCAATGAGCCCCCAAAGAAGACTTCCTTTCAGCTAACCTTCCACAGCCGTGAGTGTCGATCATTCTTCTTTACATGATGACACTTACGTCCTTACAAATTAAAATATTTACACTTGTGCACAGTAAAATGTCCAATTGGAGAGATAATCACGAGTCATCATTGGACACGATTCCACAGTTAACACTCTTTACACCCAAACAGAAAAAGATAAATGTCATTTTTGGGCCATGATTTTCGTATACATATTTTATAAATCACACACACTCTTGAAACTGGCCCAATTAAAATTGGGCCCAAACCCTTTCTCGTGAGTCCAGAAAGAAACGAAGAACCTGCTGTTCTCTCTTTAGACATGCGGTTGACAAAAAAAAATCTTTAGACCTGCGCTTTTTTGTTTTTTGGTCGTGGACCCACGCTTCTTTCGTGGAGCTGCTTGATTGCTTTGGACCGAAAAGACCAAAAACGTATTATAGTATTTATACAACTAAAGCTATTCAGGTATAATACTTCCATCGACTTAAATAAGTTTTTGTTCTAATAAATATTGTGTTTTTTAGAATTGATCTCTATAAAAAAGATTTATTAGTATTTAGTCTTTAATAAAAAAACAAATTTTTTATCCTTTTAATTTAAATACTAATAATTTTTTTATAAGAACTAATTTTTAAAATAATATATATAGGTACTAAAAATTCTTTTAAACTACCTAAATCTATTGAAAATGTTAACTAGTACCTTAAGAGTACTGCTTAACAAATTATAATTTTATTTTTTTTGAAAAACCAAAAAGTACACCTACTCTATGATTTTCAATGCATTTCAACACAATTTCTAACAGACCATAAATCTGTTAGAAAAGATATTAAGCAATTAGGTATGTATTTTCTAGATTTCATGCGATGCTTAAGTTTATCAAATTTGCAGGGATGGATTTGGAATGTGGTTCTTATTTGACAGACCATGCAAAATCAGCAGTGCTGCAGAAAAAATTACCTATATCTGGAATAGACCGTGCTCTTCACAATCTGTTTTCCATTAGAATGAGGCTAGGCCTGTTTGGAGGAAATCCAACCAAGCTCTCATTTGGCATGATTGGTCCCAATCATGTGTGTTCCAAAGAGCACCAATATCTAGCTCTTGAAGCTGCAAGAAATGGCATTGTCCTCTTAAAGAACTCTGCAGCACTTCTCCCACTTCCAAAAACAAGCCCCACTACTTCCTTAGCGGTGATAGGTCCCAATGCCAATGCTTCTCCGCTAACTCTTCTAGGAAACTATGCTGGCCCTCCTTGTAAATATGTCACAATATTACAAGGGTTTCAGCACTATGTTAAGAATGCGGTTTATCACCCTGGCTGTGATGGTGGACCAAAGTGCTCTTCAGCTCAAATAGACCAGGCAGTTGAAGTTGCAAAAAAAGTTGATTATGTGGTGCTAGTTATGGGGTTGGATCAAAGCGAAGAGAGGGAAGAACGTGATCGTGTTCACCTTGACTTGCCAGGCAAGCAACTGGAACTCATCAATAGTGTTGCCAAAGCCTCTAAGAGACCAGTTATTTTGGTGATCCTTAGTGGAGGGCCAATAGATATCAGTTCTGCCAAATATGACCCCAAAGTTGGAGGCATCCTCTGGGCCGGTTACCCCGGGGAACTTGGAGGCGTTGCACTTGCACAGATTATCTTTGGTGACCACAATCCAGGTGAATTTTCCTTTTAATTGTATTATAAATAAGGGTCTCTTATATTTCAAACGTCTTTCATTTTAACTTCTATATCAAACTTTTCGTCACTGACTCTGTGAAATTTTGTTTACTTTTTTAATTTTTTTTCACTGTATTTTTACAAGGGCATCAAGGACTGAAGTAAATGATGTTTTGAAACATTTTGCAAAGATAAGGATTAAAGTGACTAATAGTTGTAATGCCAATGAATTAAGTGGAGGTTTACTTGTATTGTATCCATGAACTAATGAACAAACATTAAAAGGCCTAGTAGTTTACATATTCAAGTTTATTATTCAAATGTTGTGCTGTTTGTCATCAATACAATGCAGGAGGAAGATTACCAATGACTTGGTACCCAAAAGATTATATCAAAGTACCAATGACAGACATGAGGATGCGAGCTGATCCTTCAACCGGTTACCCTGGGAGAACTTACCGATTTTACGAGGGTCCAAAGGTGTATGAATTTGGCTATGGACTAAGCTACTCAAAGTATTCCTATGAGTTTGTTTCTGTGACACATGACAAGCTTCACTTTAACCAATCATTCACTTATATGATGGTCGAAAATTCAGAAAACATCAGATACAAATTAGTTTCAGAGTTGGGTGAAGAAACCTGCCAAAGCATGTCAGTCTCAGTCACGGTGAGAGTTGAAAATCATGGAAGCATGGTGGGGAAGCATCCTGTGTTGCTATTTATGAAACCAAGAAAACATAGAACTGGAAGTCCCGTGAAACAGTTGGTGGGTTTCCAGAGCGTATTGCTAGATGCTGGGGAGAAAAACCATGCCAGATTTGAGCTAAGTCCTTGTGAGCATCTTAGTAGAGCAAATGAGGCTGGTGCTAAGGTAATAGAAGAAGGGTCTCATTTGTTGCTCGTGGGTGATCAAGAATACCCAATGGATATCATTATCTGATGCTACGGATTTATTCTTCAATAAGGTAAAGCATGATTCACTTTGGGATTATGAGACCATGAAATGTATTATAATTTGATTCCTTGGTCCACGGTATTCGCATATGAAATTCAAATGAACAAAGCACCATTTCAGTATTTTGCATGTAAAAATTGGTCCTCTTGGATTATGGACCCCGGATAAACCCGGTCACTGAAATGAACCCTATGCATCATCTAATAAAATTCTTTTATCCTTTTCATTTCTGGATACTGCTTCATTTGTATGGTCACAATATCGTGGACATTCCACGATACTTGTGTTCCATTGTTCATTCTGAGGAGAACAAAATTCCGTTTTCTATCTGTTGTAAGCTTTCGATCTGTTGTAAGCTTTGTTAAAAGTGATGTTAGATAGGCCCAAGTTCCCATGAAGCAAATATTATTACGTTTATTTAACTAATTTGTTTGTATGTAGAGCATAATTCAATCTTTGAATATATTGACTTGTTTTTAATTTTGTGCTTTCGTCAACACTCAACAAGGATAAAAACTACACATGTATTAGGCTAAAAGTCATGTGATTAGATAATTTGATTTCTAAATGTTGTTTTTTTTTCTTCCAGATTTGGCCCTAAGATATTTTGAACGGTTTGAATTTAAAAAAATATTTTTAGTTTTACTTCCAATTACAAAAATAACACTTTTTTTTAAGAACTGAACAGCTAAGGAAAAAACGAATTACGCTAAAAAAATTGAAGATATGCTGAATGTTCAAAACTATTGCGGATGATGGATAACGATGCAGTAGTGGGGAGTGTAACACCAAAGTGGTGGTGGGAGGCCTCATTCAGGAGTTGAGAAGGTTTGGTGTCTGTCGGTGAATAAACAAATACATTATCTTACTATGTCCATATTTTATCGTTTAAATTATAATTATCGTTATATATATAATATGACTATGATTTGGTTGAATGGAAAGAGAAACATAAATAAGGATGCATTTTTTTATTTAATTAATGAGTAAAAAAATATTTTTAAAGTAAAAATTTAATTTTTTTTTTCTCTTCTTATTCTCTCTTCAACTTAAATTGTAATTTTTTTTACTCTCCTTATTTTCCTTTTCTATGAAACAAGGCGAGCGTTGGTCTTTACTTTTCTTGTAGCTGACATAGGAAGACAAGAGTGACACATATCCGTATTATCTTATTTTCCTTTAAGGTGGTCGAGAAAAAAAAAACACATACACTTTTAGCAAGTATCCAAATAAGATTATCACTCAACATAGAAATGTTTAGACGTATTATTATTATTATTATTATTATTATTATTATTAAGTAGTTTAGATACCCTACATAATCTGATTAACATTTGACATACAGTCTTTAAATTGAATATAGTGGCATCTATAGTTATACTATATCGTACATTCCCAAGAAATTAGACTCCTGTAAAGTAAGAATTGCACTTTTAAAAAGTTTAAAACTATAACTATTAATTACAAAATTAATAATTATAATTGTGGCAAAGTATAATCACATACTAATTCTGTTGCTATTTATTTGCAGAAGAGAAGAAAAATATTGTTTTTATTTATGTTTATGTAAAAGTTTTAAATAATACAATTTGTTATTTTTTTTCCACTAACGTCCTTTTGTTTATTTTTAAGTAGTTTAAGAGTTAAAAATTTACTAATAAAAGATAAATTAAAAAGATTAATAATTAATTCTAATAAAATAATTATTTTTAATATATATATATATATCTTTTTTAAAAAATAAATAAGAACAAAATACTATATAATAAATTATAAAATTTGAATTAACGATTGTAATTATGCACTTTCTTCCTTAAAATATATTTGCATAAGACAAAAGTCTCTTTTTCACCGTGTTTTCAATATAGATTAATGTAATAATTTAATAACATATTTAAAATCATGTTAAATATAAATAATAGTTAAAATAAATATAAAATTATAGCTAATTAAATGTGAATTTAAATAATACTAAAAACTTTAATTATTTCTGCATTTTGAACAGATTAACAAAAATAAATCACATGTATCCAAATCAAAATTTAATGAATTAGAAACCCAATTTTCCACGTATGACCAAACAAATGGTTACATTACAGAAGAAATTTCTCCTCCCCACGGCTCTATCGTACGGTGACAAACCAGCCACGAGAGACTACTAATAAACTGGTAGATGACAATTACGTCATTTATGGCTTTAACTTCAGAAAAACGAAAACTCAATGAAACACGTATTGTTGAGTGGTACTCCATTCTGCGTACCAAATCAATGGAACATAGGGAAAATCGCAGAGTAGATAAGGATTTATTACATTTATTAAAGCTGCACCGATTAATCAGTCGAGTTTTGAAAAAATGTTTAATCTTTTTCTGTTGCTTTTAGTTTTATTAGGAACTATACTTGTTTTAAAGTTCACTATACTTCCTTAAGCGCCTGATTGATTTTTCATTGAAAATCATGAAAATTGATTATTTTATAATGAAAAATTTGGAACCTTAATAATCGATTTGTAAATCATGATAACCTTTGATTTTAATTTTGAAAACTCGATCCATCGATCGTATTGGATCATCCGAAAAACAATCAGGCACTAAAAGCATTTGTCAAAGACGATATAGAGAAGTAAAAAATTTCAACCTATAAATAGGTGTTGTATTTATGGTGCTGGATTTTGAGAGGAAACCCAATTACTCTGACAACAACTCAGGTGATAGATATTTAGTTATTATCAATGTAAAATTGATGCTTTTTTTGGCAAAATTTGAAATAAAGTTATATTGTTGTTTTTTAAAATAAAAGTGTGTCAGTGCACCAACCTTTTATTGTTATTTTTAGTATGTATTTTGACTTTTTTTTATTTTTCATATTTTTAAAAATATTTTTTAGACATAGGTAATTCCACACATGTACTTAATTTGTTACCCGCAAAAAAATAAAAATAAAAATTCTCTGGTAAATTATTAATATACAGATAAATTGACACAGTCTAACTGATAATGTGTCGGTAATGAACCAAAGGCCCCAAAACAGAATTTATTTATGAATAACAAGAACCCCACTAAAAAAATAAAAAAAAAACTAGCAGAGATAGAGATGTTTAAGAATTGATTCAAACACTACCAAATGATTCAAAATTTATCTAAAACCTGATTTAGATTGAGCCTTAAATTTTCTTAGATGAGTCTAAACAAAGCATGAATATATATATATATATTGGTTCCTATAAAAAAAAATTTAGTGCATACATATTTCAAAATTATTAACTTTAGATTTTATTTATAGTTAAATGATAATATGACTAACTTAGATACTGTTATGTGTCACTTTTCCATGAAATAAAATTAGTGAAAGGAACTACAATCAATATATATTTTTAAAATATAAAATAAAAATTATAAAAAGTAAGGTTAAAATTTAATATATTTTAAGGAAAAAATATTTAAATTACACATATACAAAACTTTAAGAATTGGACTCAACAAGCCCTGTGCCTTTTCTTTTCCTTTCAGAATCTTTTAAAATATTTTCTTAATTTAACTAAGAATACTTGATAAATGTTTTTGAGAAGTATAATTTTTTTAAAAATTTAACATATTCAAAACTTAAAATGTATCTATTATATTTTAAAAAATTAAACTATTTATCAAAAAAATATTAATAGTATTTGTTTGCATTTTTTTTAAAATATTTTTTAATTTAAAAATGCAAACAAACATGCTCTAAATATTTTAAAATCTTAATAATAACTTCATTTTTGTTTTACCATTACGTTTCGATTCAAGTAATGACGAAGGCACTGAAATTTACACTTAAGTATATGCTTGTTTATAAACTAGATAAATAATATTGGTCCAGCACATAAAGTGTTACAGGTTTTGGATGTTGCACGTGGAGACTTCACCACAGGAAATCAATAAATATACCTGAAACCTACCAACAATTATCCATAAAAGTTAAATGCATAATCAGTCGGTCTTTGTAATATTTTTTAATTAATTCCTCTGAGTAAAAATAAATATGAGAAGGTTAATGGATAATTTTTCTTTAATCTAAAATATACTAAGTTTAAGAGGTATTTGAAAAAATTATATATATATATATTCTGTTCATAGATGTCACTGGCCCATAAATGGTGAGGTTTGAACACAAAACACCTAATAAAACAATTCAACACACACACGAATACAGTGAAACTTTACGTCACTGGGTCAAATTTTTTGAGTTAATTTTATTATTTTATTGATTATATATGAAACGTATGACTTAATTTAGTTAATATGTTAATTTGAACACATATTATCCTAAAAAATATCTAATGATATTTAAATATATTATGAGATGTTTTGTGTCTTCGAAATAACAGTGACACAATATACATAACAAAAACAAGTTGAATGATAATTAAAAAAATTTAAATTATATTTAATATTTTTCCTTATAAATAAAAAATGAATTTGCAATACTATAGTATTTAATATTTGTATTTATTATATTTCCTACTGATACGTGTAAGAATCATAATTTTGTTCTTATTGTATGTAAAGTAACATAACTTAGTTTTTTAACATTTAAAAATCGTATAAATTATGTAATATACATATTTTCATTTTTTAATTATTTATTGTAAATAAAATTAATTTATTATAATGAAATGCATGAAACAAAAGTATAATTAGCAAATAATAAGTATCGTGATTACGTTTCAACAACCACTTAATTATACAAACTGGTTGATGGACAATTAATGTAGTTTGTACACAGTTTAGGTCTTACTATTAATTAGTATCTTTAGATTTTTGGCTAACAAATTATTAAATAATCTTTTTCTATTAAAATTATGGAGTGTTAAATGCATATTAAAAAATTGATAAAAATATATTAATAATATGTGAAATCATTTTGACACTGAATTTCTTAACTAATAGACTAATTAATACTTTATAATTTGATCTTCAAGAAAATTGAAACTTATAGTGTGTGATACGGAGTACAAGACATTACTGGATGAAGAGAATGCATTTGTGAAATTCTTGCAAAAAGAAAATATTAGCAATATATTTTTAACACAATTTTAAATATAAATTTTGTAATTAACTTATTTTTTAAATTGTTAAAATATTTATTATATATATTAATTACTTTTAAATATTATTTTAATTTTTTGAAATAGTCTAGTCACATAGTTTATGTTGTATTGTTAACATTCTTTTAAGGTGATCCTTAATATAAATAAACAAGTAAAGATGCATTTATTGTTAACTATTTTTGAAATGTATATATCACAATCTTAGTCAATTCTATAAATTTAAAGGTAAAATATACTTTGCTAATCATTTTGTAGGGTTTATATAGGGTATAAGACAACCAGATATACCCATACTGTTCTGAGCATTTCAACCCATAACTTTCAACTCACAAGACATCTATCATATGGTTGTGCCATTAATCACTCTCAATTCCAATAATACTAACTACTCATTTATTATCTTTTGTTTTCACATGCTGAACACTGATTGAATTGGGATCACATTAAGATCGGGTCGAGTTATGAATGTAACTGTGGAGGTGGCATAATGCATTTAAGGAGCAGAATCACTCTCCAAAATGTGAGGACGGAAGCACAAGGTTCACTGTTTATTGTTTTCTGGTATCCACTTTCTAAACATTGTATCGCTCTTAGCATTTTATTTCCATTTTTCTCTCTACTTCTTTCCTACAAGACATTTGGTTTGTATCTACCATCTCCATTTACATGCTTAGTAGTTGGGCTCTGTGCTTAGTTTAGTCTTCAATATTACGTTAATCTTGTCTTGTTTTTGGCCTAAGAACCCCACATAAGATGTATTTCAATTGTACTATGTATTGCTGTTGTTAGTTTGTTTTAGTTTAACTTTGATTTTCTTATTGGTTAAGTTTTTCATTCTGCGTGCCTTACGTTGCAAAGGGTATACGTTTACCTGTTAAAAACAAAGTACGAGCGAAATGTTGATAAAATGTTAAGATTCAGAAGTAATCTAAAATTGATTGTATCTAATATACTTGAATAGTATTGAACGACTTGTATCTGTGTATGCGTGTTTGATGTGGTTTTTTTTTTTCAGTTGTCAAATTTTTTATTTTGATTAAAAAATTGTATTATTTAACTATATAATCGCATATAATTTTTTAAAAATAGGTAAATAAACTGTTGGAAAACACGGTAGAGAGGAGAAAATGAAAGAAAAATCTATTATTGTCTGAAGGTGAGAGCATGCATGGAATGAATTGTGTATGGGGGAAGCTCATATACTACAAGACATCATCGAAGACTTAGCCCATAACCACTTCTAACAAATGAAACGAACTTGCTAACAAAATTGACCAAACTAACTACGGGTTAACCGCTAAACCACTAACTATGGTAATATGAACTAATTAACGGAAGTGGCTATAAAATGAATGCCATATTTCAGTAAGCAAACTATATCCCAAGAACCACTTTGATTCCTCAAAGTTTAGCTTCGTTGTTCCGAGGATGGCTTCCATTTCCTTAAAGGTAAACTTAGTAATGTTTATAGCTTGTAAGAGAAGCTGTAGAAACACACTTTTAATTAAAAACTACAAAAAGTATGATAGAAAATTATTGAATTATTAGTTAGAATTAATAAAATAAGTGTGGAACTAACGTAATTTTTAATAAATTTTAGTGTGTTAGATGGTTTGTGAGAAGCGTGTCTTTAGTTTGTAATTAAATAGGAATTTCAAAATGAGGTATAAAATGTAGCACTTCTTCATTCTTGGCTGTTGTTATTGCGATAAATTGGTACTGACATTGCAGTGTTCATTGTTAATTTTTAGAAAGTCTCTACAGTGAACACTATGAGTGAAGGTCTTCAAAAAACTGCTACCAACGGCCACGAGAAAATGTTAATATCACAAGAACAGCAGGCAATGGTAAGTCCAATTTATTTTGCATTCTTAGTATATTCAGAAAGGTACATATATTTTTGTTGCTTTTGAAAACATCACGTTACAATGTTTTGGGTAAAGGAAATAGACTATAATAATTTGGTTTTTTCCAGATCAGTGAGATGCGAAGGTTGATAGGGCCGTTATCAGATAGGGCATCTCTGTATTGTTCTGATGCAACCATCTTAAGATATTTAAGCTCGCGAAATTGGAATGTCAAGAAAGCAGCTCAAATGTTGAAACACAGCCTAAAATGGAGAAAAGAATGCAAACCTGAAGAGATCCGCTGGGTGAGTTACTGCATGTCTTCACTTTCTCTTATTATTACTTTCAAGGGTTTCGAGAGATCACATCTATTGATGCGGTCAAAGAAAAGCTTATATTGCATGTTGATATGTGTCATAGTTGTATAGCTGCTTCTGATGATGTTGACACATTGTTCAGCCATATTTACTTGCCTTGTTTTGGTGACGATATCTATTCAATATTCTCATTGAACCAGCAGTAATTGATTATGTTGACATACTGTTCGTGATCAACCGAATCTGGTCCATTATTGTCTCACTAGGAATGCGTGATTTGGTACTTTATTCTGTTAAATGTTGTTTGACGTGTATTTTTCATCAAATGCAGGAAGAGGTTATTAATGAAGCAGAGACAGGGGTAATGTATAGAACAAATTATTGTGACAAGTATGGGAGACCAGTGATCGTAATGAGACCTTGTCGCCAGGTGTCTTACGAAAATCGCATTTAATCTCTGTCATGTTTAATTTAATGAAGGTGTAATCATATAGAAGTCAGCCTCAGTGCTTGTAATGAGTGAAAATGGAAGAACTACCTTGTTCAGTTCAATTTTCAGTTGTAGAAAACACACTTGATCCATGTTCTTGTTTCATTTCTAATATCATTTGTGGCATTTATTTGTACTGCAGAACTCAAAGTCACTAAAAGGACAGATGAACTATTTTGTATACTGCATGGAGAATGCGATTTTGAATCTTCCAGCACACCAGGAGCAGGTGGTCTGGCTGATTGATTTCCACGGTTTCAATTTGTCACATGTATCATTCAAGGTGGCACGTGAAACTGCCCGAATACTACAAGAGCATTATCCAAAGCGCCTGGGTTTGGCAATACTCTACAATCCACCGGCAATCTTCCAACCATTCTTCGCGGTAAATAAATTAAAGGCCTTTCTACCACTTGTATATTCTTGATCATGTCTATATAATGTCCTGCTTTGCTACAGGGTACGTTTGGGTATAATATTTAGGATAATTTATACATTTACTTCGGTTACATATTTATAAATTAGTTTTTATATTTTAAAAAAATTAAATTTTAAAATATATTTGATTTCTTTTCTAAAATAGTTTTTTTTTAAATCAAATAAAATATATATTTGCACTATATTTTATTTTTAATAATAATTAAAAAAAGAAATCAAGCATGCTCTTAGTTTTTAAACTAATATTTTGTTATGTTTTAGTTTTTGTAATTTATGTTTTAATCTATGCTAATATAATGACTTTAGTGATGTAGTAGAACAAATTATAACAAAATACTTATGTAAGTACTAATACATAAATTTTTTTTAAGCTTTAAGGAGAAAGACTAATTCATAAACATGTCAGATATAATAACTAAATATGTATCTTGACTAATTATAATTTTAAAAGAAGTTGCATAATTTGAATTTAAGTATCCTAATTAAACATTTGTGCAATTTTTGTAAGGACAAAACCTATATTTTTAATATAATATATTAATTTTATAAGATTTTTTATTATATTTAAGATATGAAATTACATTATTATTTAAAGATGGGTAAGTATAATTTGGTCTCTAAAATTACACTGTTGTATTAATTTTGTCTGTAAAATTAGAATTTTATCTTTGAAATTTAAAATTTTGTTTAACGTTAGCCGTTTATGTTATTTTGCGATAATTTTTGCTAGTACATACTGTTGATCATTAAGTTGTGATGTTAGCTGCTATTTAAGAGTAATCAATAATAAAGAGTGAATATTGTTGCTAGTACATATTGTTGATCTTTAAATTGTAAAGTGAAAGAGTGAATTGCTGCAGATGGTAAAGCCCTTTTTAGAGTCTGAGACCTATAATAGAGTAAAGTTTGGTTACTCCGACGATCCCAACACAAAGAAGATTATGGAGGATTTGTTTAATATGGATAATCTTGAATCTGCATTTGGTGGGAATGGTGGCACAGGAGTTGACAAAATTAAATATGCTGAGAGAATGAAAGAGGAAGACAATAAGACACGTTCGTTCTGGACACGTGCAAACTCTCTGTCATCAGTCTCACAAAATGCAGATTCTGATGCTTCTAATGTCGAGAAAATAGACCGTTCCCCTGTTCCTAACTGATAAATACATCTTGGTTACTCAAAGGGACAGAAATGTCGTGGCATTGGAATGAGAAATACATGCCTAAATCTTTTTCACGAATTGTTTAGTCAACTGTAATGCCACAAGATGCTATGACATTCTAGTTAGAAACCTAGATAGATTCAAGACACCTAGTATCAGCTTCATGTATGATTTATGATGAGATCCTAATGGTTTGAAAAGCTTCGGAGCTTTAAAACAGGCATATGGAATGCATGCTAACCCATTGGCTTCTTATGTGATTGACAACATTTTTCCCCAAAAGCAGGTCTAAATTAAGTAATTTTAGTATGCTAAAAACAAATAGATAAAACCTGGTGCTGCAACTTGTGGCATCAATATTAGTTTTCGTATCATCATTGTATTGTATATGAAAGGAGGGAGAAAATGAGATGGGTTAGATAAGGGCAATCACAAATAAGTAGGATGTTTCCATGACAAAACTTTCAAAATATCCAATAAAAATCACATTATAACTAATTTACAATTATAATAACGGACCTGAACAAGTATTACAGGGCTTCCACATTTATAAGATGCCTCAACCACGGGCTTATGAAAACCATCACTCTCTCGCAGTGAGATAATTATACCTAAAAAATGGGAGCTTGTCTCCAAATATACTGTCTGAAAACTGTACTTAAACAATCCAATAGAACCTAAGTGCAAATATTCTTTGTACTTAAAAGAGTGATGCTAAGAGCATCTCCTCCGTTTGATTGTGATTCAACTGTGACGCTTCCGATTAAAGATAAATGTATCTCCTGAAACAATCAAAGATAACGGAATGTAACGTATTAAGAGAGAAGCAAGAGAAGAAAAGAAGAAATGGGTGGTTACCTAAAAATACATATCATTGGAACATCTCATCCAATTTCTGCCTGTAAAGAGCTAAACGCTGTGACAAAGTAAAGATGTCAGCGCCTTGCCAAATTAGTTAAAAAAGGAATGAACAATGGAACGTAATTTTAACATTATAATGGAGCATCAATCCAAATAGGAAATGATTAATGACTAATAACAGATCAACGCTGCCCGAAAGTTCCAACTTCATCCATACATGACACATATATTTCTAGTACTCACTATCAAAAGGCAGTCAGAAAAATGAGGAACGACTGTCACTTTTTTCTGGTTCGAAAGTAGTCTAGAAACTCAGATACAACTCACTTTGTTATCAAATTTTTGTACTTATTATTTTCAGTCACTATTACGGATTACCCATGCCAATCAGCCGCACTAGATGAAGACAAAGGAAAGATTTTAATCAAGAAAATCAATGGGTGACGATGCAAAAACTTTCTATCAGGATTTGATTTATCATTTATCTATGGAATTCTTAGAAAGATGAAGCCAACAATTTCTCCTAGGAAGAAAAGGGGATTCAATTCAAACTATTAGCCATCAATAATGAAATTCAATTCATATCTATCTTGTAGGTTTTCCCAGTATAAGATCCCCACCTTCAGTCTTATACCTAGTTGTTGAGTTCAAGGAGATTAGCAAAGAGAGTTTCTTAGTTAAACAATAAGAACACATCAATACAATCGTAATAACATAGCACATAACAATCCAATAACATAAAGACACAAAACAAATAATTTCACAAGCAGAACTATTTTGGTGTTCTATTCTTTCTATTGCTAGAGGACTGCAAGCGCCATTGGCCATTGCAGTGTTCCAGACAAACAATATCTATTCTTAAATCAAAACTTCTATAATTCATTAAAACCAAGCATCCTAAAAGGGATGAAATATAAAAGCTGATATAAACTGCATACCTTAGTATAGGCATAAACTCCAGCTTCAGAAGGTCCTATGGGACTACCCCTCCTAATGAATCTTCCCTCTTTGAAAATATAAAGCATGGGAATTCCAGTTGATAGTTCCAAACTAATGACCTGATGAAAGGTGAAAGGAAAAGAAAATGACTATATGTCATGAGTGAATTGAAGAACCACAATAATTCTGAATACTACAGTCACCTCTTGGGAAGTTAATTTGTCGAGATACATGATAATGGATCTCAATGAATTACCATGGGCTGCAATCATAACATTCTTTCCTGATAAAAGTTGAGGTTCAATCTGCAAGATTGATGTCAATGGGATCAGTCTCTTGTCAGTTTAATATGATCACGATCACTTCAACCATACCAGAAATTTGGCCTTATATCAAGCTACATACATACTTCCTCCACAGAAACATATAGCAAATATATAACTGAACTATTAAGGCAGAGCTAAGTTGAGAGGAACATCTAGTTTAAGGATTCACCACATTTGCTGGAAAACATAAACATCAAACTTAATGCAGAAAAATGAGGGGAGGGGGGGGGGGTATGTAATTCTGCTAATCATAATTTTTTTTAAAAATGAAACAAAAACTAAATTTCCACCTACTTGGTCTTTGAAATAGGCAACCGCTCTTTGAGCACACATTTCCAAACTTTCACCATTTGGAGGAGGAATGTCATAACTCCGTCGCCACTCATGGACTTGTTCTTTCCCATATCTGTCTGCTGTTTCTTGCTTATTGAGGCCTTGTAGTTCTCCATACCTGAAAAGACAACAATTATAATATGCCAATCATTTTATGTTATTCATAACATTCTACAGCAGAAATTGAAAACACCGGAAAAAGAAAAAGATCATTACATTCTTTCATTTAGTTGCCAAGCTGATATGACAGGAATGGACTGCTTTTTTGTGTCTTCACTATAAACTTGACTCCATGACCTTGCCTGTTGACTCTCATCGTGCATAATGATAGGGACCTGCAGGGAAGTTGATTGTTAATATTTAGAAAATGACATTTGAATACTATGTTGCAGCAGATAAAAATATTTATTTGAATGATGTATATGTTTAGTACGCTACTAAGTTCATAGTCAGCTATAAAAACGGCAAAACCTGTCAATTTTGCCATTAACTAATTTTCTGCATTACGGTGCAAGACTGCTAGTATCTTTTCAATTAAGCACCACTGATTTGGAGTATGGCAGGCTTACTACTATGCTCTAAGCTTTCTAAGGAAAAAATAGCTACATATTGTGTCACTTTTGACACCTTAAGATAATTATCCATTCATCTTACCTTTCTACGACGATGTTGGGTCATGGCAAGCATAGCTGTCATTTGTGCACGAATCAAAGCAGATGTAAATATGACATCAACAGGAATGCTGCTAATTCTTTTTCCAGCTTCAATTGCCTCATCTATACCCTTCTTGCTTAGCGGGACATCAACACAACCCGTGAATAAATTCTTTTCATTCCATAACGACTCACCATGTCGAATAAGGATCAAAGATGCTTCATCTGAGTTGGAACATATTGAACAGCTGTTAGACAAAATCCTTAACAACTTGAACTTCTTGAAGGTTGTTGCCACCTCAAACTTTGGTGAATCCAACTTCAAGAAGCAATCAACATGGACACGTTTGGCAAAGAAGGAAGTCCAGCAACAAATATAATTGACAGACTGAGTAGAGTTTATCTTACTTGATTTCTTGTAAGTGTCTCCGGTGTTTCTTCTTGAAGGGGATGACACTGGATCAACCACTGATGTTTGGGAAGCTGAAGATTGACTTACACTACAATTCCTCTGGCCAGAGTGATTACTTTCTCTCCTTGACAAGCCATTACTACTGATAAAATCCTTTGCCACCAATCTTACTGAAGTTTTGCTAAGCTTTTGGTGATGATTAGACTTATTCAAATAAGAACAGGACTGCAAAGTGCCAATACTCCGGTGATATACTTCAGCAGCCATTATCTGAAAGGTTGAAAACAAACAACGGAGTAAGACAAAACAACTTAATGTTGCCAATTCAAGATCAAGGCGCCAAAGCCAGGTTGCTGTGGTGCACAATAGATGCGGGTAGAATGAAGGTTTAGTTAGTATCATGATGCACCCTCAAAAGTTTGAATAAAGGAAACAAGAAAACAAACGCACACTTGCTTGCTTAGAAGAATGTTCAATGCCAGATACAAAAACTCTACCTAAAATCACAATCTAAAACTTCATTGGAAAATTAAAATTCTGCCCGGCATTCAAACATCCCGTATTTATTTAAAAAAGGTTTCAAATAAAGATATTGCCGATCTATAAAAGGAAGAAACAGTGAAACAATAGAAAGCCCACATAGAACTTAGATACGTATATTTAAAAAAAAAAACGAAAAAATGAATTTTTATTAATTTGAAAAAAGTACTAAGTCGAAAACCATGAAAACAAATGGAATCAGCATACCCCAGATGCAAACAATCAACGAAAAAAGCGAGAGAGGAAGATAATATAATGCTGTGAATAGAGAAAATGGGGAGGAGCATGTATTTACCCGGTTTTGTATAGGCGTGTCGAGGAAAACGATGTGGAGGCAATGATAAAGTGTGGAAAGTGAGTTTATTTCGAGAGAATGTAATGAAGAAGTTGAGTGGAACAAAGAAGAGAAAGAAACAGGGTCGATTTTGGAGAGGGAAAGGTAGTTGTAATTGTCAAATTGTCACGAGTCTCAACTGGCATGAATTGACAAGCAGGTCAATGGGGAAATAGAAATGGGTTTGGTGGTGTCCGAAAAGTGGCATATATTGTAGGACAAGAAATCCAAGTCCAAAGGAGCTGCGTACATTTTTACTTTTTTGTTTGTTCTTGTTTTTCTCTGCCATTCTATTTTTTAAAGATTGTTCAAACTGTAGTAATACATTGGATGATAATGTCAAAGAATTTTATGCTTACAATAGGCCCCTTTTTCAAATCTCTTTCCCTCTGTGTCAATGGTGAGTGAATTTGATTTTTTTAAAATACTCCTTGAGTGGATAGTAAAAAAAGCACGTGTTATTTGAATTATATTTTAATAAATTAATTCAATTGATTAAAAGTGTAATTCATTTATCTGGCCTATTTTCCATGGGAAAGCATTTTGATTAATAAAATATTATAAGAGCACTATTACACTAGTTAAAAAAATAATAAATAAAAAATTATTGCAAGTTACTTTAAAATTATGATAAAGTGTATTAAAAATATTTTTAATAAAAAATTAATTTTAATTAACATGTGTCTAAATACACATAATAAAAAATTTGGTATAATAAGGTTTTATTAAAAAATCTCATGATATTATTGAATTTAAGATATCAATAATACTAACTGCTATGTTTTTAATAAAAAAAATTATTATTTTTTATTATATGCCTTTAGTTACGCATTATAAAATTGTATATATATTTATATGATTATTCTAATGCATAAAAATGGTGGTGATTATTTCAATGCACATTAAGCTTGTTTAGTTTTGCGTATATTTAATTTATTCATGTATTTATTTTTATATTTTTTGCTGAAAGTCTGCATGGAGTTATTATTTGTTTGTGTCTCATTGCACAAAGAAAAGAAAAATAAAATAAAAATCCCAAACCTCCTCTAGTCCCTCTTGTTCTGTCCCACTTCATTTTGTTTTGTTGTACCAAGATATACTAAAAAGGAAATTAGGAAACACCTAAAAAGGCCTTCAGAGTGTGAAAATTAACATCACCACCAAACACCATCACCGGACACGTTTTTAGGTCTACCCAAAGTACTTTGAAGGCCAAACTCGCCACCAACCCTTTCATTTACTTTTTCAATTCAACAACACTGAGATGAAGGCCTTGGAAGTTGAAGTTTTCAAAGCCCATAAAATAACAGCGATCACAACCACCACCTCACATTGCTTCCTATGGCTGCAAAGGAATATGCTCTCACATCATTTGATGCACTAAATTTTTAAATAATTAATATATAATATTTTTTTTATATTTATTTAAAGTTTACCTTGATTTTTATCTCAATTGTGTCCCTTTAAAATCATTAAATCCTTTATTAAATTTTATCATAAATATTCAATGATGAACAATTACAATTTACAAATATAAAAAAATATTGAATATTTCTAAAATTTTACAAATCGTCTTATAAGTAGGATTATATATATAATTAGCATTGTCTTGTAAAAGACACTGGAAAGAGTAAAACTTTTCTCTTTTTATGAAAATACTCTTTTAATAATAGTAGAAGACAAACTCCATTGTGAATTATAGTATAAGAATAACCATATGAGCGTTCAATTTTCACAACTATGAAATCGGTGTCTTTGGTCAACCACTCACCTCTTTCTATTCTATTCAATTTTATCGCCCTCTCTTATTCAAGTGGGTTCATCAAAAGCCAAATGAATTCACATAAGAAAATAGTTGTGTTAACGGGAAACAAAATTGGATAAATGTATGTGTATCAAACCGTGGACAATGATGGAGCCATGTCTGAACAGTTTAAACAGGGATGCATACCAGTATAGTGGTAATATATTATTGGGTTGCTCAGCATTCCCATGCACGTTTACTTTGAGTGAGAACTCAATAAACTATTGAAGAAGAAAATTTGTGTATAGTCTCGAAACACTGATGCTGAGCAATACGCAATTTTTTAAGTCCATGTTTAAATAAGTTGATATTTAATAAGCATGGATAAATTTTCAGTTAATTAAGTTGATCTGTAAATCAGTTTGTATATATGTTCTTTCAAATTTTGCTTTATTGTTATTTTATATTTTATTTTTTAATGAATTAAACGGGTTAGCCATGAACCAGTAAATTTAACTCGCTTATAACATATGGATTATGCAAACCTATCCATACCGGCCTATAATTAAACATGTCACACACAAACCCATAAACTTGTCATTTTTTGTGAGTCAATTCCTATCTCGAAGTCCAATAAAATTCAAATTAGTTATCACTTTTTGAAATCTCTTTTTATGGACGTATCTAAGGAGCATTCGTGGGCCTCTTCTGATGAATAATGGGCTAACTTACAGTCTTTTACCCATCTCATATAAGATTCTAATGGGCTTAGTGGTTACATACTTTGTTCGACTCTTTCTTTATTATTATATGCTAAGAAAATATTGAACAGACTTTTAAAACTAAATCTTTTGTTGTTTGTTGTTAGTGGTTGCTAGTTACTGAAATACTAGCAGGCGTCGCAAGCTTTTATTCTCCGGATTATTTATTTATACATGGATTTTTAAAATTAATATACCAAAATATGGTATTTTTAAAAAATTTGTGAAAATAAGAAATTCAAAAATAGTCATTAAAATTTTTAGTGTAGGTGTTGATAAAACAACGAAAATTTATGAAGTTTCAAAAATAATCACTAGTGGTTTTTCTAAAAAATATATTAAAAAATTATAAAAGTCAACTTGCTCGTGACAATTTTTTTTTTTGAACTCCAATGGCAATTTACAAAATTAATAAAAGATTTAAAGTACCAAAAAAACACCATTGTCAAATTTTGACCCGTATTTTAATAATTATTCTCAAAACATTTTTTTTTTTTGGTAATTTTATCTTTTTTTTTCCCATATATATATATATATATATATATACCATGTGACCAACACGCCCAATGAATGATACAATGGTTGATGGGATCCAAATTGCAAAAAAGCGAATCTAATACAATCATTTATTTCAATACGGTACTACTCAACCTATACCTAAGCTCATGTTCCAAAGGTAGTTCCGTAATACTTACGCCTTTCAGTTTTAAATCATCATCTGACATATAATATACCAAAAGAAATTAACGTATTAAAATTTATGGGAGACATAATACAAATTATATTTATCTTAAGAAGTATTTTAATACTTATCAAATAGTTACTTGATTGCCTAAAAAGTAATATATAACATTTTCTTTTTGGGCCATAAAGTAATATATCGATTCCCACTCCAGCCCAGGACAACGATTTAACAGAATGGTTCGCTTATCCTAAGTGTGTTTATAATCGAGAAAGCCGAAATTAAAAAATCATTGAATTTTAACTTTAAAATAGTCACTTCAATTTAGTTTTTAAATTTTATTCATAAAATCAAACTAGGTCACATACACGCTTCTAATTTAATAATATATTGATAATTTTTTTATTTTGTTGATACATTCACATAAGCATGACTTGATGATGTACTTAAAAAATAAGCGAGAATAATTTAAAAATCCTCAAAATTCTGAATAACTAAGAGCTTAGGTTTTCCTTGAATAAAATTTCGAATTCGAAAATATTGTGTAAGAAAAAGATAACGTTAATGAGAGGTGAGTTTTGTGTTAAATGAATTCATTTAGCTTGACTTAAATTAGTTTAAATTGAAAATAAATTTTTGAATATTGAGGGTCTAAAACAAATGTAACATACCCCATGGACATCCTCAAATGACACAAAACAACGATCCCATTTGCTGATATTAACAATCCCCATTCAGAGATGTTGAATTTTTTAACTAACTAGTGTGTATATCGTAAGCTAATTTGTTATTTACGTCTGTCGACAACGACGTCATTAACTTCTAGCCGAAATTGATAATGATTTGATCAGGAAAAGAAAAGGTAAAATTCCATTTGATTTTAAAATAATCCATTAGGCCAAACTGAACCCAATTAAAATCCAAGTAATTCGAAATCAAATCAGACCAACAACATATGGCAATCTTCAACAGCCACCAAGGGCTATTAGCAAAGGCCAAGAGTAAAAAGGAACTCGCTCACTCAGATTATTGATTTATTTCACATTTGTGCCCAACTATAATCTTCAAGTAAAGAAAGCCAATCCAAGAGTGACCCTTTCTTACAATTCACTCTCGACGAAAACAAAATCCCTCTTCAAAATACGCAGATATAGATAAAAGAATAGTTTATTACAAGACACAAAATATACTCCATCCTCAAGTCTAAGACAGATCTTGATGTAATAACATATAATTCAGCAGGGTCCATTAGCATTAACATATAGCATAAATTGAAAATGTCGAGATAACACTCCACATCAAGATTGAATTAAATAGACATTAGAAACCCAAATACAAAAGCAGATACACTCTGATTAATTCTCATTATCGAACTCCTGGTATTGCCTGAGGATATCTGCACAGCCCGAAGCAACCTCCTCCGACATGAAGCCCATAGCATTGACGAACCTATCATCTGAGGCAATGCCATTGTAACGTGTAAGAATAACCCGTGCTTGGTCACGCCCTGGAGTGGCTTCCGTACACTGAGAGTGATGACTGTCTACAAGCTTGGCATCACACACTTCATCTGCGTGATCCTCATTCACCCAAATCTTGTATGATCCTGTTCGGTCAGTCCACCCCTTCTTCGAGTATACAACCTCGTTCGTAACCCTGTTCTTGCATTGCAATTCAACCTCCGCACCTGCAAACAAGCATTAATCAAACAAAACTCGTTACATTACGTAGTAATAAGTAGCAACAAAAAAAAAACATAAGGGGTAACATAGTAACTAAAAACAACACTCACTCACTAGTCATATAAAAAAAAAAAAAAAACTTTTTAACATGATAACTGTAACAAATCACCAGCTAAAAAACAAAATTAAATTCTGGGACTTGGTTATCACATCCTTCAGACTGGATAATCTAATTTACAGCTACTTTTACCGCCAGATCTGACAGCCAGTAATACAAGAAGCTTGTAGCGAATAATGAAATTCGAAATGAAATACCCCATTTCCCTAAATTACAGTTTTTTTAAGTGTATAAGAATGAAATTGAATAAGAGTTAAACAAAATAAAGAGCACATGAAGGAAAAGCTCAAAACTTTTACATTCAAACAGAGATTGTGTTTAGGGAACAGATCTGAGGTTTGGTGTAGTATAAAATAAATAGTAGGCGTTTATTTTTAATTAAAAGAAATAAAGAGGAAAAGGGTTAGCAGTTACCAGCAATGTAGGTGGTGGCGGAGGTCTCAAAACCAGCACGGCAACGGTCACAGTAGACTTGACCCTTAACGCAAAAAGGGTTCTTGGCTGGGCGTATGGCTACAACCATCGCCGGAAGAACGCACATAGCCAACAATAAGACTACCCTCGAAGCCATGATGAGAATCACAGATAGAAGCAGCGGCAGAAGAAGAAAAAGAGAGTATGGTTGTGAATGAATGGGCACAGAGCAAATTGAAATTGAGGATTTCAATAAAAGGGAGAGTCTTAGTGTGAAGAAGCTGGAAAAATGAGGCATAAAGAAAAGAAAAGCGCGTGGTATATGTTCAGATGTATTGGAGAGCAGCGTAAAGGAAGGTGGAATCGCAGCTAGGAGGTGCCACGTGATTATGATGGAGTGTTATTGGGTTGATGGGGTGACGTGGAAGGGTGTAGAGAATAGGGAGCATAGAGGAAAAGAAGTGTGGCGGTGTTGGGTGATTATAGTATAATGTCTGCAGCTGGCGCTGTCGGTGCAGCATGTGACTATGCAAATGAACACAAGCTGTTGGGGCCTTTAGATGAGAGTGAAACTAATCAATCTATTAACCGCATCCCTCGCCGGAAATTTTGCTTTCACTCTTCTTTCACTTTTCGGAGAGTTGAGTAGCCTTCAATCAAAGTCCCTGGGATTGAATTATGGGAGTTGACATATTTTTTCTATTCAAGTTTTTCAAAATTTGATAATAAAATATCAACATTAATTTTAAGTAATTAAAAGTGCTGAGTTTTTAATTTAAAAATATTACATACAAAATATACAAATATAATAAATATTTAATAATAAACGTTATTTTTTGGTAAAAATAATAAAAAAGTTCTTTTGTGTGTTTAAAATTAATCCAATCTTAACATATTGCAATTAATTTTAGTGTCTTCTTGACTAGTGTCTTTATTAAAAAGTATTAAAAATCATGTTGAGAACGCATAGAAATCGTGATGGCTGTGCATTTAATTACATTTTTAATCAAAGCGTTATTCTTTTAATTTTTTTCATATGTTCATAGAATTTTTATTTTATTTTTTTGCCATCAGAACCTTTCGGCAAAGCAAAACCTTTTGTAGCTTGTAGCTTGGCCCAATTTAGCCACCATGGATGGGCAACATTGCATGGGCCTAATGGAATTGAAGTGTGTGCGCAATGGACCTGGTATGACGAAGTAAATGGCCCATCCATTGTAATGGACTTGAAGGGTATGCTCCATGGCCTAATGGACACACGTTTCGATGGGAAACACTCCAAATTATTATCATGTCAAGCCTGCAAGAATGAATTTCTAAATTTGAAAACAAAATTCATACCTTCAATCTTTTAATTTTTTTTTTAACATGGTCCTTCAACTATTATTTATTTTATTTAAATTCTCTGACCTTTTAAATGCATTTTAAATAGAATCGTTTTTTAACTAACTAAATTATGTTAATATATTTTTTTTCTACTAAATAATTGTGTCGTCTTTTACGTTGTTGTCTTCAGCCTTTTCTTTTGCTTTCTCCCTCCTCTACTCCCTTTTAGGTTCTATTCTGATTCACATTATTGGTTTGATTTGGATTGTGGTGATGAGTTTGATCTGCAGCTTGAATTATTGGTTCAAGGCGACACAGTTTTGGTCTGGCTTCGGTTTTAACTCTACAGTTGGTGTTATTGATTGGAGGTGACGGTGATGTGATGATTCGGTTCCAATGTTGCATGAAAGTTTGTGGATGCTATAATGGTGGGGTTGGATAGCTATTTTGGGTTGTGGTGTAACGACGTCGATTCAGAGTGATGGTGATTGGCAGTGGAATTGTCTTTGTGATATTATGGCTTCATGAAAAAAGTAGGGCCCAAATGAGAGGAAGAGGAGGAACGAGGAGATGGAGGAAGAAGAAGAATGCCGTAAAAAATATTCAACCAAAAATTACGAAAAAAAGATGTTAACGAAGTTGCCTTATCTTTTACTACTACTTCTAAATAATCCTTCGCTAACAAACTTATATGCATCTTTCTCTCTCTCTTTTCCCTTTTTTTCTGAAAATTTTAGTTTATTTAAAAATGTTAACCAATATTTGAAAGCTAGTGAACAAAGAGATTTTATTAAAAAAACCTAATACTGTATTTATTATAGTAATTTTTAATAAAAAATATTAAATTATTATTCTTTAACTATTTACTCTTGTAAATTTTTCATAACTCTCGAGTAATATTTTAAACGATCTTATTATCTTCAACTCTTAAAGTTAGATTTAAATATTTAAAATAATTAATGTTTATCAAATAATATTAAAAATATAATGCGTTTTCAATAAAATATCATTATTATTTAAATTATATTTTAATAAAATATTTACAAATAAAACTTTGCTAATTATTGTGTAGAAAGTGACATATTCGGGCTACGGTTAGGTTCGTCCTCTCGCCTTCCTGTGTGAGCTGGTTTTTATGTGTAGATTTGACGCCATGAAGAAGTGGACCATGGATCAAAAGGAGAGAAACTGAGAAGGTTAAAGGCATGGGGAGGATTAGGATTCCTTCGTGTTACATGATTCTATGTCCTGTGTTTTTGTATTTTTGTTTAAGCGAATAATTATTCGCTTAAATAAAAATATAAAAATATATAGTCATGTTTGCTTAAAAAAATTGAGAAAATCTCAATTCGCATGAGTTTACCATAATTAATTATATTCCCAGAAGTAGTATGTTATTTGCAATACTTGCTAATCATTGCCATTTGATCGAGTCTCAACAAATATGTATAATTGAAATATGCGCCTGTCATCCAAAACATATAGTGCTTCATAGGGGGTTTTAGTCTTGAGGAGCATACGGCAGACTTGTTTCTCCAAGTTTTATATTGAATCTTAAAAAAAAAACCTAAACTTATTAGTTAAACATTTATTCTACAAATTCTTATCATAGAAAAAATTATAACATAAGATTAATTATAAAATTTATTAAAATAAATTTAAAAAGCTGAATAATAATTTTTTTTATATTTTTTTCCCTTAAGTTGTTCCAAAACGTTTCAAAACTTATACTATAACTATCCACCCAAACAATAAACTAGCAACCTGAAGAAAGCAACATATATGTAACTTCCTATAAGATTTCTTTCGTGGATGAAAGTTAACGGTGATGACATGGGAATGAGGTGATGCAGTGGCAGCTGGAGGAGGATATTTAAGGTAAAGGAGGCTTGTGGTGGAGTGTGATTTGTTTCTCAACATATTCACTTGCTTGGTGTGCGTTCTGCGACTATAACTCCTAACACGAATATGCATTTGTGGGGTTTGGGAATTTGGAAAGTGGCGTTTCATGCAAGGTAATGGTCACCTTCCATGGTTGATCGTTTGGTTTGTGGATTATCCGGCTAGCTAGTTGGTGTCACTACTTCCATTATTGAGTGAAATTATCTTTCATGCTCAGAGAGAATTAATATACAACCGGTCATTCATCTTTCTTGACCATTCAATTATTTCACGGTGCATGGTATAAAAAGCCAATAATTAAAGGACATTTGTATTTCAACTTTTTGAAAGATGAAAATTTGATCTCAAGAACGAGAAGAAAAAGTGGTGTGGGAATACTTTTTTGGGTCATGATGTAAAAAAAGAATGTGGTATACTAGCACTGCACACCCTAAAAGTGAAAATGGAGGTGCATGAACCCCCCAACATCAATGGTGCCATTTTCTAATGGAGGTACTATCCAAATCGAACAAGGCAGCCACACGAGGGGAGCACTTCTAGTTGTAGCCCTTTGGGTTGGCTGTTGGCTGTCCTCCAAGAGCAACATTTACATTGCATTTTCTTCCTCTCTATTGACAAAATAAGCTTTCCATTCATTTTAAATGATTGATATATACTTTTAAACTAATCTGAATTATATATTTATAAAAAATAAAAGTTGATTTTATAACTTTAAAACAAATAATCTCTCCAAGGTTACGTTCTCTGCCAAATTCTATATATTTATAATTCTCTGTTTTACAATAATAACAACAAAAATAACGAATTACATCGTATTGTTGACAACGCAATGTCCCCACTATATCATATTTTGTTAGAATATTGGTCAGTGCTTCCAGCTGAGGGAGAAATCACTTCTTTCTCCCACCCTTTCTCTTTCTCAAGACGGCATCCTTTCGAGTGTCTCTTTTCCTTACAGTGATATAGTGCTGATCTTTTTGTGAAACAAGTTTAATATTTAAATATTTAATATATATATATATATATATATATATTAAAAGAGATATAAAAAATTATCTCTCTTGAGCTGTATACAACATTTTTCGTTAAACAAATGTAGCACAATCCTTGGTGTCAATTAAATTAATTTTAATATTAAAATTTGACAATATATGTAATATTATAGACAATTATTTATATTTTTTTAATTTTTTATGAACACACATCTTAAAAATATATTTCAACTATAAATAAAACACCTGAAAGTGTCTTTAATGGTAATTAAAGAAATTCTCTAATCAAGCCAAGCCCGTATACAATCAAGTTAATATACTGTTCATATGCGCCATTATTTTTTAATGTAAAATAATAATTGAAGCAATATATTGAACAATGATTTAATAAAATAATATTTTAAATTTTAATAAATAAAGGCTATGACATAAGAAACAAACTCAATATTTAACCATTAATATATATTTCTTTTGGCCATTTTATAATAAATGTAAAATTTTAGATATATTAAATTTTCATTCTTATTTTATTATAAAAAATATATTAACAAATCACCAACTCATTTCTCATGCAAGTAGATGCATTTAGTTATTTAATATACATCTCACCAATAAAACTATTTAATAGTATAAGTATTTTTTAAATAAATATAAAATTATAATATAAAATTATTTTTTAATAATCCTAATAAAGTAATAATGTTCCTTATAAAAAAGAAAGATATATATTTTTGGTAATAGTTAAATGAAAATATCACAATCAAAGTTTAGCTATAACTATTCATAGCTCTTAACCCTTGGGCCGAGATTAACATTTTTACTAAAACATATATTTAAAAAAAGTTGAAATAAAATTAGAAAGAAGTAATTTAACGAGTCATAATGAATTAAATTTTAAATAAGAGTTGAATCGTAATTATCGGAAAAAAGAGGAGCATAAGTGATATTTGAAAGAGGAGGAGTTACTAAATGCAGTAGATTCCAAACTTTCCCGCAATGATGTGAACATTGGGTTGGCCAATGAGACTCCCCCAAAGTGACTTCTTTTTTGGAGACCCGAAAGTATCCCAAGTTCCCATTCCAATTGGCATTTTATAGGAAAATAAATAATATTAATACACCTCCAATAATCAAAATAAATGATGGTTAGTGAAAACGAAAGGTTGACGCCAGATTTTATTTCTCGTTAATCATGTACATCACTCTCATCGCAGAATCAACGGCTCAGATTCACTCCTCGGTTTTAGGTTCTTGTTTGTATTAATCTCCCCCCAAGCTCGCCGTTTTCTTCTCCACCCTTACCTACCTCTATGTAACCTTCTCCCACACTCTCTTCTCTTCCCTCTCACACTTCACAGCATAAATAAAATTGTTGTTGTTGAAGCACAAACAAAAAAGAAAAACAAGAAGACAATGATGTTAGGGAAAAGACCTCGTCCTCCCATGAAGAGAACCACAAGCATGTCAGAGATAACCTTCGATCTGAACACAACCTTGGACGATGATCCCAACAACTCCTTATTAAACCCGCATGGACCAGGAGGTTCCGATGGGCCTGGCCCATGGCCCAATCACCCCCCCGTTGGGTTCAACGGTTCAGATCAGAGTAGGGTTTTGGCCACTGTTTCGCCCAGAAACCATAGTAGACATTCCCCGGATTTGGCACACACCCCTGACTTCTTACGCGCTTGCTTTCTCTGCAAACGCCGTTTGGGACCCGGCCGTGACATCTACATGTACAGGTACTCTCTTCTTTTTTTTCCCTTGTTTTTATGCTAATTTTTTCTTAATCCTATGTTTCGTGTCACCTACGTGTATTGTGTATTTTGAATTGGTTGATGTTCAACACAAGCTTAATCAGCTACGCGCTTTTTATAAGGCTCTGTATTAATTGAAAATTTTAATATTGAAAATTGTAGGGGTGATAGTGCTTTCTGCAGTCTAGAATGCCGCGAAAAGCAAATGAAGCAGGACGAGAGCAAGGATAAGTGTTATGTGGCATTGAAGAAACAAGTTGTTGTTGCGCCTTCTGGGTCGCAAGTAACTACCAAAGGCGAAACCGTGGTTGCCTTGTAGTGGCAGCATCGCGAACAAGATTGATGCAATATCTATGCCCTTGTCCTTTCGTACCTTAATTAGTAAATATGTTCATATATATACTTAGGCTCTCTCTCTTTCTGGGATCTTTTTTCCTTTTTTATGGCTAAGTAATTTTCATAGTGGCGCTTTTTCGGAGAGTGGCTTTTTGCTTGTGAATGGGCAACGTGGGTCAGTATTTTTGAACTAGTACGCTGTAGTTATTTCCATGGGATTTTGAATCGGAAGTGAAAGAAACAAAATTTGTAACCCGTTTTGTTTTAGTATTTCATATTTCGCATCGTCGTTGTGGCTCAATTTACTGGGTATTGCCGTATTGGTAATAATGGGATCGAGAAGGCTTTACGGCGTCATTGTCACTACTCCACTGAGTTGGTATGTTTGTAACAGGTAAGTTGCGTAAGCTGTCCCCGAATTTGATATTCCAGTTCTTCGATTTTTAATTTATTCTTAGGGTTTCTCCAACTTACCACATTAGTCTAACTGGAATAAGCATATTTATTTTCACTTCAAACAAAACCCCCCTATTGATTTTCAATAATAATTTCGCATGACATGCTCAATCTACCGAATCTTTGTGCTGTCTATGTTATAACATTATTACGTATCGTAACAGTACTGGCAATTATATTGTATAATTTTTTGCTTAAGAAGAATAAAGATAATAAAAAAAAGAAAAATTAATTTATAATAAATTTATAGTTTTCTGTTATACTATTTATTATTTATCTCCCCTTTTTTATATCTTTTTTAATGGGTACGTTCAATTTACTGTCCATGAAACATTTTCCTTCACCTAAGGCTTGAAATGCAGCTTGCAACTTTTTCTTTGCACCCAATCAAAGTGGTATCTTCCATGCAACTCAAAGTATGAACAGTTGTGTATAAATTAATGGGAAATTTTATCGTACTTTAAGATTTGGTACCTTTGTTCACTTTATTTTGGCGAGGATCCCTTGACAATGTTAAGCGCTTGGCAACTTGTCAAAATAATGTAGATATAAAATTCAATGATATCATTCATGTTAAGATATATATCAAAAACATGCTTGTCAGAATATTATATTTTATCAATTATTTAAAATGTAAATATTAAAATTTTAAAGATAACATAATAAATACTTTTTCTCCTTAATCAATATTTTTAAAACATTACCCCCAAAAAAATAAAATCTAATGCAGCATATAGTTAGGTTCCCCGGCCCCTCCTCTTTAACTGCGTATACAATCTTTACACACAATTTGTTTAAAAGAACGAATTGAAAAAAAAAATATCATGAAGAAACTGATACATTAGAAAACTATTGGCTTATTGGATTTGAAGTGATCTCATGAAAGAGGCTGCATTAGGAGGGAATCTGTAGCTTAGTCAGCTTTGCATGAAATTGGTCCCACTTTGAACAAATACTAACAGAAGAGACCCCAATTTGAGAGGGAAATAAGAAGACAGAAGAAACCCCAAATTTCTTTTAATTTGCCAACAGAAAAACACAAGAAACCACTCCTTGTAAGGACGGGAAGAGAAGGCACCTTAGCCTAAATAGATGCGTGTTGTGGGTGTGCCGTAGTAGGGGACCACACTAAAGTATCCTTTCAAATCATAATTGTTATTTTCACTTATAAGTTTGTAAAATATTGTAAGTATTTTAATGTATAAAATTCGAATGAAATTATAGAGCCATTTACAAAAACATTTTTTTTATTATAACATAACGAAGCTTCACATGTTTTTGATTTTGGTTTTATTTTTAATTTAATTACAATTTCCAAAAAAATAATTTATTAAACACTCATTGTTACCTATGATAAATCTCCATCTTAACTATTCTGTTAAATAATAGTGTGTGAATAATTGTTATATATTGATATAATAGTTTTACGTTAAAAGAACTGCGTACCATTTAATAAAATAATTCGAAGGAAGATTATTAGTGTAAAACATAGTGAATTTATTAAATTAAGAAATTAAAATAAATAAGTTTAAAAGAGAAGTTGTCTAAGTTTAAGCCCTAATTGAACATAAAATATTCATTTGGCATTATGCATTCCAAGAACTAAGTTGAAGGACCTGAAGGTTGCGTCTGTGATTAAAGAAAAACTGAATAATACTTAGTGATAGAGTTAATGTTATGAAATAAATTTGCTTGTTAAAAATACAGCATTTCTATTTTGTAGAAGATATTTTAAGAAAGAGGAATGATTGGGTCCAATTTTGTGTTTCACAGAATCTGACTTATATATATATATATATGACATAATATTTTTATTAGTGTAAATTTAAAAACTTATATTAAATTTGAACTTTTTATTTGACTTACATCTAATAGCCAATAAAATAATAAATTATAACGTATTAGATGAAAATAAAATAAAATATTCAAATTTAGTATAAGAGTTTTTAGACTTACACCAATAAAAATATTTTTTTCCTATATATATATATATATATAAAGTGAATCATGTTATAATTGTTTTTTGTATCCTTCTATGTCATGACTCATGACATAATTATTTTATGTTGGTAGAAAATGTGAGGGAGTCATTATATTCTTAAGGGCAAGTTTGTATGAAATTGACTAATTGTAATTGATGTACGTTGTTTATTGGATCTATTGACATAATTTTATTTTTCAAGAGTTTAATCATATTTTTCAGTCAAAATAAAAATCCATTTTTTATCAGAATCATTAGAATGAAAAGTTTTTTATTTACAGTGCCAATTACCTAGAGCTTTTTAAATTCATTGAATGGCATCATAAATATTTCAGATAAAAGTTTTAAAATGTTTGGTCTTACGTCAGAAGATATAAAAGCGTGCAATATTTAAATCTCTATATATTTGGAAAAAATTTAGTTCGACGAACATATTTTACAGTTAGAATATAATCGAGAAGAAAGCTTACTACATAATTAAGAACAAAAAAACAATCCATATGAAATTAAAATTACTGTGGAAGAACGAGTTGCTAACATTTATTTTGTGAACGACGATCTTATTTAAAATATATATATAATAATAATAACACCTGCTAATTATAAAAACGAAACTTTGTTATTTCTTATCTTTTGCTGCTTTTATATATTTCCTTGATAAAGAAATGGTTAGATCGTAATCTACATTTGAAAAGCAAACTTGACAGTGAACTCGAGAACAAAGTTAAAAATGCAGGTAATTTAACTTTTGAAGGTCGATGTTCCCCGATTTACGGTCACTTTGGGGGACAAATCTACTTGGATCGAATAGTATCAATCGCTTCCCACAAACTTTTAATAAACAATTTGGTCTATGGCATTAATATAACGCAAGTATATGTTTTTGTACCCTTTATTGTATACATATGACATGTGTAGCCTTGTTATAATAATACTCTCTCTTCCAATGCACCCGGGCTCGTCATAAATGACCACTTATCAAAAGAAGAAATATGCATAATAATTAGACAGATTGATTTTTTTTTGGGAACTATTTTTTTAATAGGTGAACATATAATAAAAAATTATAAAGAAAAATTAATAATAAATTATTATTATTAATTTTTTATTATGTGTTTAATGACTCATTAAACAAATGTTTTTAAAAAATAATCTCTAGAGTTCACTTTTAATAATTTAAAATATCTATTAAAAGTTATTCACGGTATAAAAATTTAAAATTTAAAATTTAAAACAAGTTTTAAGTATTGAAAATTAATGTAAGAATTAATATCAGATTTTTATAATTTTTTTATCTTCGGTTTTTAAGATTGAGTTTTAAAAAATAATAGATTTTATTAAAAAATTTATTTATAATATTTTTTATGCATTCGGCTCTGATTTCAAATATATTGTCATCGTTTTCTGTCGGCATCGAAACCCACGGCTAGGCATACTCGCAATAATTGCTCTAAGATTTTTATTTAATTTTAAATGTTAATCTTGGTTTTACAATTAAATTTAAGCAAAGAACAGTAAGTTTTTATTATAAATTACTACACTTTTATAATATTATTTTTAATATTTAAATTTAATTTTAAACGTAAAAATTAATGATAATTTTAAAAATAGAAGACATCACCAAAGTATACACATACAGACGCATAGACATCATCAAAGTACATATTTTAGATGCACGATGAAAAACAATTAATATTAATTAGAATACTTAATTAATTATCAATTATGTTAAACTTCATCGGTCGAAGAATTGTTGCTTTCTCACTGGGCAGGAGGACTTTGGGTTTCTTTACTTGTCTTTGTGGCCCGCAGTATGATGCACTTGGGGCTTGCGGTAGCCTTTTTAATTCTGTTTATCATCATATGGAATACAAGCCCTTTCAAAATTGGGCCAAGGAGACGTTAATTGTTAAGTTCTGAGAATTAGGTGGTTAGGTCCTTTTATTTACGAGTCCACATTCTGTCCTATTGACCATTGCAATATAGGTTGGGATTTGGATTAATACGGATTACACTTGTTTATATCGTATGTATTTGGGCCCATTAACTGGTGGCATGTTTCATTATCTCTGCGAACTAGAAAGAACAAGCTGAGTCTATATTGGGTCCCCTCATTTTGTTTTTGTTTCTTTGGGGGACAAAAGACATTCCAGCCACACTCATTCATTATTGTACGGCTTGTGACTTTGTAAATGCATTAGTTTATGACGACAAAATAAAAGGTTAATGACAACACACAAGGTGTACAGAAAAAAAATTATATACCAAAATGAAGTATAGCAAAAGTTTATCATCTGGGCCATAATTATTATACCAAAGAAAATGCAATTAAGGCCCTTTTCGGTTTGCAAAATATATGTTGTACATAATAAAAGGGAACTCCTACTTCTTCGGTATCTTCCAAACCACCAATAACTGACGTGTTTATATTAACTTTTGTTTTAAAAAATTTCAACCTTTTAACTTTTTTTTATTCCCAAGTCTGCTCTTTACACTAAACAAAAACTTTTCACTTTCTCAAAGAAGAAACTAACTTACCCAACACGTTGTAGTTATGTAAAAGGTCATTTTCAACTATTACACAAGCTGACTGTGAAAAGTGGAACATCACCTGCATTATTCTTTCTTCTATTTATGTTTCTTTTTCTTAATGTTGTGTTTTTTTTTTCTCTTCCTTTTGGTGGGAATTTTCAATATATTGATGTAGAGTGTGCTTTTTTATGTTCTTCTCATACGTTTGAAATTCGAAGAATAATTGCTAGGCATATAGCAAAAATTTTATTCGAAAAGGATGTG